TGCCGTCTGACGATGTGTACTGACCTCTCTGAAAACTTCGAAAAGTGTTTATCTGGACACCAATGAATATGGAACTCAACCAATAACTTTAATATTTCCCAGATTAAGTTTTCATGCAACAAACACTACTTGTTAATTTGAATCCTATAATGTAGACATTTATCTTTTCATTGCAGCTATCATGTCATCAACACTTTATAATGTGAGTAAACTGATTTCTGCATAAATAAAATTCAGTAAGAAAAAATATATAGATTTTCAAAGTAATTGTTAACAATTTTCACTGTTAATAGGGTCTCTTGATATTCAAATAACCTTAAACCATTTAAGAGTTGTTTGTCATGGAGTTATATACTAGTAAAGTTTTCGTACATTTTTGGCTTGACGGTTTTCACCGTTATTAGAGGACGTTTGCCATACTTGGACTTAGAATCATATGCTAGTAAATACGGGTGATAATAAACACCAAACATTAACTAGTTGACGGTAAACTCTGATCAGTCAGGCGATTTCAAACTTTCACATAATAATTTCTGCTACGTGAATATGGATATGAGGTATTCTATAAGACGTGTAATAAACATTGTAGTTTCAAACTGGAATCGTTACTTTCATTGGACACTAGGTAATGTCACTGTCATCCATCTAGTTCTTTGTTTGTTGCAGACTGAATTCGATCAGTCAAATTTTCACTGTGGACACCATGCTGAATGACTCACCATCACAGTGAACTCTGAATTGTGTCTAAATGGTTTGAGACAATAGGTAGTAAGCATGACATTAGTTATTTTCCAGTGTCCAGTGAATCGTTCATTACACAAGGTCAACTGCGAGCACGAATAGCTCAGTGGCAACGTTTTTGATTACAGTGCTGGGTGATCAGGGTTCGAAATGCAGATGGGACATGAGTTACCTCAAGACAGCTGGTACGCCTTCCTGACGAGTGTCAGAAAGAGTGAAACCCAGGTCTAAGGCTTACTACAGAACACCTCCTACCATCTAACAAATTGAACTCTGTTCTATATAAGTTGGGCATATTTTAAACACCTTCAATTATTTCATACAGTTTCTTCTATAAACAAATTAGTATTATTTATTTATTTAAGTATCAGTAGCGATATAAATCTTAGCAGGGAGGAAAATCACTAAAAGCATTCTCATTTAATGAAAGCTATCAAGATTCTTGACATTTTTATTCCAGTCACCATAGTGATTTTATCAGACATTCAGTAACAGGAATCAACAATTTAGGCAAGATTTGTTGTAGAATTTTTTTCAAAAAAGCATTATGTTTCCCCACTTTTTTCAGTACTTCAGACCATTCAAATAAAGCATATATTTTTATGAATGAGATGTATTTACTTTAAACTTTTTTATATAAAAGAAGCGGGCTATTGTTTCTTTATAATCATTCCCAAGTTCCATTCAAAATTTCAGGTAACAGTACCGAGATAATACTTATTCTACTTATTTAAGTAGTAACTATCTTTCTGTGAAAAATGTAGGTGCCTAATCAATAGCACTAACTGATGTATGTAAATTCACGAAAATACGTTGTCTTATGATTTCATTTCACCAAGTATTTTAAATTTATTGAGATGGCATTTTGATTTAACTAAAGAATTGAACATGGAGATCTGATAGGAAAGGATGAACAACAGAATTACGTGTCGTTAGTACTGAATTTTACTAACACTAATAATAAAAATGCATACTCACAACCTTTCTTCAATGTTTCTAACTTTCTGACCACTGTGATCTTATAGATTTTTCACTTCAATTTTTGAGAAATTATATAAATGGCACCTGCCACAGTTTAACCTCAAATCTGATATCATACTAGAAATAATAGTGCGTCGATAGCACAGTGGTTAGGACTCTCGCCGACCATGCGCATGGTCCGGGGTTCGATCCCCTGCCAACGCACACCCGATATCTATGGTCGGCCTGCGAAATTTGGGCTACCGATATCCATGCTGAAAATGTCATACTTGTACTGAAAATACGCTGTGGCATCAAGCTGTAATCGAAAAAAAAATAAATAATCTAAAAATGTAAAGAAAATGTATAAAATAATACGTTTAAGTGTGAAGTTGAGCTTTGCAAAACTTTTTAATTCCCCATTAAAAGGATTTCATCCATTTAATAGTCAGTGATTATTTTGTTTGTTATTTTTCTTTAGTTCTTACAACTGATTAATCGGCAAACTCTTATGTCTTTGCCTGCTGTTATTGAGGATTGCCAAAGAGTCTTCTACAAACAGTTGGTGACTTCATTTAAGAAACTATTTGTTTTTTCGATGGTTGGATTATCCGAGATGACTTTCGGTTGGCAAATTACTATTAATGCAATGGGTGCTGGAGGTGGAAGACATGAAAAGGGTGGCTAGCTGTCTTTGATCATAGGTGTCTGCGTTCTGTCTTTCATGTGATGTGGTGGTATAATAGGGTGAGCAATGTTGAGATTAGGCTTCGGTCGAGTGAAGAGAGGAAATCAATCGACGGGGTGTTTGTGAAGTTACACCGACTAAGACGGTTAGAACATGTGTTACTTATGCATGCCTAGCCATCACCTTCCTCGACGGTCAATATTAGCTGACATAGGATTATTTTGGAAAGGAGCCAGTGATGGTCAAACAAAAACATGTCATCAATCAATGAAATCCACATCTGTTAGTTTAAGCTAGTCACGTAGGAAGGTGTAGACTTCCTGGTTGGGGTCCTCAGGACGGTAAACACCAATGGCTGAAGACAATCGGTGATATGGCTCAAAATCGTTCTCAATGGCGCAGATGCATCCACTCCTTGTCACTTATAATTTCTAATAAAACTATATTGTTCTTCGATATTACTATTTATTGTCTTATATCTCTGTTTGCTGCCTCAATTTTGCATTTCGTGCGTCGGTGGCACAGCAGTTAGGACGCTCGCCGACCATGCACATGGTCCGGGGTTCGATCCCCGGCTGGTGAAGAGGAAAGGTTAGGCATGAGGCTAGCAACCCTACCCTGTAAAAATAAACACTGCTACGGAAACTTTAGGCCTCTAGCTTGAAGCCCTATGTTCCACTGGGAACGTGAAGGAATTAAAAAAATTTAAAAAATAAAAAATTTTGCACTCCATTTTACTTTCTTCTCTTGCTTAGTGTGCTACATGGAGTGCAGCGACTTGAACTGCTGCACATCTGTGCAAAGTTCTACGTTGAAACCAGTCAGTCAGTCATCAACAGTTGCCTTCATTCTATACTGAAGATCAGATGGCCAGGAAAGCTTAGCAACAAGAAACTCTAGGAGCAAACCAGTCAAGGATCTATCACCCGATAAAAACGCAGAAGAAATTGGAGATGGATCGGAGAGACTATCAGTAGACCATTGATTGACATCATGTGTCCTTCTCAAACAGGAAACGACTCTGGCGTCTGAGGGTGATGTAGAAGAAGTGAAAGCTTATAGGCAATCGTGGAGCCAACAAAAAGGACTGAAGAGAATAGGATGAAATGGAGGTATGCTGTTGAAGCCCCATTTTCCACTCGGAATCTGAGGGAATAATAATAAACTTAGTTTATTTTATAAAATAACCAAGCGTTTATTCAATATGCTGAATATTTTTAATGACCTTGTAAACATATTACCTCTAGATATTTGATACTTTGAAATCAAGTACTTCGTTCCTATGAATTTCATCATCTGAAGTCTTCAAAAAGGTTTTGTTCAATACTACCGACTTATGGCATACTGCCTAGATTTGCAGATGTTAAGGCTAGTAAACCTAACACGAAGTACACTAGGCTAGTCATACAAATCCTACAGCTTTCTTATGAAAGCAGATTAGAAAGTTTAAACTTCTCATTAACATACTATTACCTTATTTTGGGTTACCGTCTGTTACCTGGTAACTTGGATACTGACCTTTCTAACCATTTCTCTTCTTCTATGACACCTGGGAGAGGTCATCATAAAAAAGTACTTATGCCATGGCTGATCAAGATAAGGCTAGAATTAAAATTCTCGTATGACACGGCCAGGCACTTAAAGTAATAAAGTCTACTTATTCATGTTTTTATCACCGATTACTATCAATTTCTAACTGCAGCCACAAAACTTAATGTGATCTCTAATTAATGAGTTAATTTTCATCAAAAATCGTATAAATTAAGAAAACAGCTAAGATCCTTTTTACTGACTAGTAAAACAGACAGGCTATATGAATCAAACACCGGATTCTTAACAACATAGTTCTCATTTCCTCTATTAAGACAAATTTTACCCACTAAGTCTTCTGATTGAAACTTAATATCTGATACAATACATTTCAGGAATTTTCACTCGGTTTATTGGCTACATGGTTAAACTGACTTGATGAAAGTGAGAAAAGAATCACTACTAAAACGACTATTACACCAAGAACTCTAATGTAATAATAGTTTATTAGATCTGTTTGTTGGTAGCCGTGAAACCGAAAGTAAAACAAGGCATTCTTTGTAATTAAAATACATTTATATATATGTTTATTCTGAATAAAGTGAACATCCCAAAGTAAAAGTCCAATTATCGAAGACCCTGTATTTAAGGTGATATATACTGAAGTTTAACAACCAATATAACAAATATGATTATGCAGAACACATCATATTGAAGAATGTCAAATGGCTTAAATTGTGAATCGCATTATAGTGTAGTGGACCGTGACATTTAAACATATCCTCTATAAAAAGAGAAACGTATTAATGATTTTAACTATTCACTTTATTCCAGTAAATTCAATTACTCATACATTTGACAACTATGATAAGTAATATTCTCCCAAAATGAAACTAAACCATAAGCCAATCGCAACAGAATTCTATATTTCTTTTGATAAATAATACATATAACATAAAACCATAAACACAATTTCGTTAAACTGATATTAGGAGTTATGATGTATATGGTATCAATTTTGTCTTTTACAGTAAATACAACAATACATATTGCATAACATCTGTACATCTGTATTTTCTTTTTACTTCTTTGATCTTCTTCCTGTATTCCAAACTTCACTTGATCGACGGTTACATGAATCGCTGGACCTAAACATTTTTTGTAATAAATACAAAACAAGGGAACTAATTACTGTGTGAAAAAATGTCTCAAAATAAGTCAGTCAAATTCATTTATTCACTGGCAATATATTTCATACGAAGATTTCAATAACGATTGGATGATCAAATGACTTCGTTTACGATTTTATAAGCTCCGTTTTTGTAAGTAGCCATCGTCCCAACTGATTGAATAATCAACACAGAATTGTGAAGAGACGTGTATCAGTTTAACTTGCCGTACTCCAAAAAATGATACACAAAGTAAGGGTATAGAAATGTAATGATACTACAATGAACAAACATATGCGGAAGAAAAAATGTTTTGATGAAGAATAGGATAAATATTCGGAATTTCAAAGATAATGGTGAATGAACGAGCACATCATCATCAGGGTGAATGATTTCCAGTCATTTCACTAACTCTTTAATCATTGGATGCTAGCAACCCAAAGAAATCAAGTGAACCTACACAAAATCACATGATTTATACCAATAATCAAGGACGTGATGGAGTGGTATCATGTTGCGGTCTAATCAATTCAAACTCACTCCTGATTTAATCTTACTACAATTAGCATTAGTCGCCAACGAAGGAGATAAGTTAGCGTGCTTGATATATGCTACAGCCATTTCAATCTTTCTGGTTGGAATTGTACTACGAGAAGTTTAAGTAATTTTTAAAATAGATACTCTCATCGTCCCAAAAAAAGTGGTTAAACCATCCATATGTGGAAAGTTTAATTTATTTTTATCCCTAATTATATATTCTTCATAACATTCACCACGAAAGAATAATTCGGACGATTGTGTGAGTGACGTGATATGATTATGAGCGATAATTTGTGCTCGAAACGTCATCAGTTAATATTACTGTACAACGCTGTGTCATTTATCAAAATGTAGCAGGGATGTGTTACTTCTACATCTCCAGCATTTCGTCACTTTATCTCAAACTGTCTTCTGCACATTCGTATCCATCCTTTCATTCATTCTTTTATAGATTCGTCATTGCTCTGATAATAACTCATTTATGAGCACTTTGCTATGATATGACGTAACCCTGTGTCTATAGTAATGATTAGAGCTATTTTGTGACTTATTTTGTACCCCTTAGAGAGTCACATGAATTCAAGGGAAAATAACATCCAAAGTTATGCATGAGTTACTAATTATTATCGTCCTAAGAAAAACAAAAAATCCCATATTCCGAATTTTCAATAATTCTGAATATTGATAATCAGTCGGTGTAAACGTTAGTCTATCCTGTTTGATTTTTCTTCTCTGAATTCACTACCCCCCAACCAAGTAAATAAATGTGGCTTAGATACAGAAGTATCAACTGTCAGAAATACATTGAGTCCAAGACTTTATTATCTCACTTTGCCATTACGTATGTGACCTAAGACTGCTTTATCAGTGTAGTCAAAAGTAGTGATTCAAATAAAAGCATAAAAGAAACTTATTTGGCTTTTATCCGATAATTACACGATTATCTAAGGTGACAGTAACTATTAAAGAAAACCGTGAATATTAAGTGACACAAAACTAATGCAGCACGTTCTATTTTACAATCTATAAAAATAAAGGCAACAAACCTCCCCCGTTTATTTTGAACCCCTGGCTGCATAGTTTTGCCAGACAATTTTGAATGATCTAATCTACGAGAAGGAAATTAAAAGGCAAATACAGGTGGATGTTAAGTTTTTTTAATGAAGAGAATGACAGAAGGCATTAAATAATAAACATTTTTTTTAATTTGCCTATTGACGTAAGAAGATTGATGTCTCATACTTAGGAATGTAATTATCGCACAGAAAACTCTCGCTTAATAACCGACAAATGCTTACATTACATTTGGCACACAGTTGTATGAGATTAGTATGGACTATTTTCCTAATGTCTTTTCGACTGTTTCATCAGAGACTGAACCAGTAAATAAGCAGAACTATTGCCATCATATGTTACTACATGTAGTTACAAAACCATTGCAAGGTCAAATTTAATGAGGTACGCTCAGAAAATCTAGTGTGCTGTTTATTTTCACAGTCTCACAATTAAATAAACAAGCAAAAGACCAGTAAAACACAGTACAGGAGTGAATACACACAACAAACACGACATCAACTGACTAACAGGAAAATTCCTGTAGAGTTTTACAATCATTTGTAGTGAATTAAACCACCATACTTCAAGAAGCCACTCGAAATAAGGGGATGGGACTATAATGATGCTATAATGAAGAGACATGTGTGGGAGGCAATAGTTTAATGATGAGTAAGCAAGATATTCAGAATCTGAAAGATGATAAAGAATTTCCGAACCATGTTACAAGAGTTGTCAGACGCTGATTACCAGCATCACATGGACAACAATCACACTATTTGTCACATTCTCAGTCCAATATAATTTATGAAATGCTTTCAGGTAATTAAAAATTAGTTGGCTTAAACATCTAACTGTCAGGCTTACCTAGAAGTTTCCAAATTTATTACTTTGTCTGCACTGAAAGATGCAGGAACCCAGCTTTGTAAGTCAAACAAAAACTGTTCACGAGAGTCAGGAGTGTTCAGGTACAACCGTCCAGGTGTGTACAGGGAACACAGTTGCTAAAACGTAAGTGAGAATACACACAACTTACTTGACTATTTGGACTAGGTTTATCGTTGGTGTACCAAAGTTGCCAATCACGCAAACCCAAATGAACAATTGCCAGCCTCACATATTGTTCAAATGTGCAACAAATTTCGTGAATACTCAAGTCGTGATTGAAGACATAAACACCTTTATCACAATCAAAAACGTACACCACTGAAGTACCATTAAGACACTTTTCCAATTCATACGCACAGGGCCAATTTTCGAAGTCGGAACCCAGTAAACTGGACAAAAATAATTTCTCATTACCACTTATCTCCTCCTCTCCAGAAGAATTTGTGAATTTCAATCTTACAGATTTGAACTCTTCTAGGCTATTTATTTTAATCCTTCCAATTGTACAAGTTCGTTCTATAAGTTAGTCATTATCATATTGCAATTAACCATTGCAAACATTGCACCAAACAAATTCTATCCCGTTAGTTGTTAGATAAAAGTCTTTTAAATCCTGAGGTAATTTGAGGCCAGTAGATAATTCCCACTTCTGAATTCCATCTTCTGTAGCAGGTTCATTCGTACTTAAACACACATCGCTAACCCCAGGTTTAGCAACTTTTATAATAGTACATCTTTAAATATTATCAATACCTATCAATTCCTTTAAGTCTTGGAACACTTTAATAACCATGTAGCGTTTGACTGCTTGATTTGTGTTCAGCCTCACTTAAGCCACTAGAACTATCTTCAGTGATAAACTCGATAGAGAAACCAATGTGTTGATCCTAACGGATTCACCACACATACGATTGTCCAAACAGCTAGTTGGTAGAAAGAAGTGATTATTATCGGTCAGTTTACAGCAATTAAGGTATTTCAGAATATTATATGCGACCGAATACGTTATTTTAGAAGTGTTACCTCAATCTAACAAGTTGATGGACTGAAAAACAAGAAAAAAAATATATAAACTAAGAACCTGTCAAACACATAAAATGAATCTTTGTTTAGTGGTAAGAATTCGTTCAAATGAGAGGAGCATAAGTAAACAGATTGTGAAAATGTAAGCCCAACTCATCGCACCTTCGCTTTGCAAGTTCAACGCTATGTTTAGGGTTAAAGCAAATGATCTGCCTAATACTACTTTTTTATAATTCTTCTACTTGGTTGCTTTAAGACCACTCGACTTGTTACAGTTTGTTAACACCATAACTCCCCTTCACCATAATTTTGTCCTCACAACTCTAGCAAACAATAATTAGTGAATCTATAGAAACTAGGTAGCCTTAGACAGTTAATTCAAGATTTACCTAAAACTAAGAACTTCGTTGCTTAGTTCATCTTATAGTGTACCATGAATATTCAAAACCATAGCTTCCTCTTATTATTTTGCAACATTTTAAAAATAAAATAGATCAGTGTAGCTTATCCAAACGCGCTAATTTTTCCAGATATTCGCTGATGACAAATAAAACACAGTCGCGTTTATGCAACTATACGTGCTTTGAAACATAAATAACAACCTTCCCGAAATTATCTGAAAAGTCTGCGAAAAAATTAAGTAAAAGGTTATTACATATGAAGTGTGAAAATTTATATTATTTTTACCATCTCGATGCATTAGTTTTATTATTTTCTCGGGGCTTCTCAGAGACTGACGTGGGTAGTGAGACCTAAGAACGTGTTTCTTCAAACAGAATGAGACCTAAGCATATACTGATATCAAAGATACTTCGAAACTACGATTAAGGATGGTAGTAAAACATTAATATTAGCAACAATCAATGAATTTCTCAGATGCACAACTGATGAATAAGAAATAGACGCCACCACCAAGTCCTACTTCCACAAATTGAAAGACTATCTACATATTTCTAAAGTTTAGTCAAGTTATTTTGCAAGATACATCAATTTCATTCTAGAAAGTTATGGTTTCAATTATGAGTAAAGCCACTAGACATGTGATCCAGCCAGTTCATCCTTTATCTTAGGTACATCATATAAGCATACAGTTTTCATAACCGATTTCTAACTTGTTTTACAGAATTTGTATTATGTAGCTTACTTGAAAAACGTTTATAAGCAGTCTCAACTTCTTATTTTGTAAGCACAGCTCCTTAAACAGTAACCACGTGATTCCCTAATTCTACCGTTCATTTGGACAAGCGCATATTACTGAGTCACAATTTACATAACATATTAAACGGCCTAATACGGGACTACAGAAGTCCTAAGTGAGCGGAACCAGTTAGATTAAAATAGCAGTTATTGCGGGTATAGTGCTGATAACTAACACGATGCTGAAATAATGACGAAGCAGTGCAAATAATACAGTAACAGCGTGACGTAGCGTTGAAATAATACATGCAATGTTGAAAACTAACACTGACTAAGGGAAATACTGAAAATCATGTTATTTCAGTAATATTATTTAGAAATTAGCCCCTGCAAAACAATCCAAACAGTTCCGAAGAAATCTGTCTATATCAGTTTGCCGTTCAAAGGAGATGATGTACAGGGAATAGTCAAACGAAGACTCGACAAAGCCATCAAGAGAACTTATTATGCTGCAAAACTTGTTAACCTTAACACCACTAAGCGAGTGCTGCAACAATCTGGAAGAGACCAGTCGACAATCCTCGACACTTCAAACTGCGTATATCAATTTGAGTGTGTTTGTGGAAGCAAATACATAGGTTATACAGAAAGGCGATTGTCTACTCGCATGATGGTTGAAAACAGCTGAGTGCAAAGTGCCAAAATCCTCAATAACAAAACATCTTGTGGACTACGGACATGATATCGACGAGGCCAAGTCATTCACTATTGTCAGCAAACAAAGAAACAAGAAGATGCTTGCAATTGTAGAGGCTTGTGCAATTCGAGTTTATAAACCAGGTCTCTGTGTACAAAAGGAGGTGGTCGTGACTCTATTATTTCAGCCCAGCCTCGCTATACAAACAACTACTATTTCTGCTTTCCCTAGTATTAGTCCCACATTATTTTAAGTTTGGAAAGATAAATAGCTTGCGATAATTTTAAACTAATTCTAACCTATGCGTCGATATAATGCCTTTAAGGGTAAATAAAAATTTTGCCTACCTAAAATGATCCCACTATGTACTGAAGTAACGCTGGTCGTTCTTAAAAAGAGCACTGGACGCTAAATTATTGTGACGAAACCTTAAAAATAGGATTCGCGGCTGAAATAAATCTGGAAAAATTGACTTTCGCGCGCGCTCCTTGAATACGACGTGCATTTTCCTCTCTAACAGGAAATATCCACTTTTGTGAATAATTCGTTTGGGAAACCTGATCTTCCTATCCGGCGAATTTTGTTCAACCATTTCTTCTTCACCGAGTCTGTGTGTGGTACTTCCAGCTGTCTCGAACTACTGCCTAAGCTTCAGGTGCTACTTCTGTAGCAACATCCTCCTCACTCTTTCAAATATACAGGACTTGTTGGTCTGTTACGTGATTGTTGTGAAGCCAAATAACCCGAAAGTTACAGGTAAAGTCAAAAGCTTTTACTTATATACTTTATCTTTCTGTTCTGTGCTGTCTACTGTCTTTTGCCGTCAGTCTATTGGACAAAACTCCACTGTCTCTTATCATTTAATCATCGGTATTAATTTAGGAGTAATATGACGATGAATTCTCACCCTAAGACAAGTAATGGGACACCATACACCAGGGCTTCAGCCAAATTAGGCAAACAGGTGAAGGTGATGGAATCTCGCATACCGGTCTTGAAGACCAGGGTAAATATTCCCTGCGTGGACAGATTGCCCATGTCGCCGCAGTCCTACAGTGAAACTGTGAAAAGTCAACTAGGCAGATGTGGCTCCATCCCTGTTAACACGACTAGGTTAATAGAGCCGACTGGTAAATCTGCACAAAGTGAGAATAGTATAGCACCCATATCCACAGTAGGCCTTGAAACAAACAGGAAGGCCAATAAGAAACGTTCACAACGTTGCAAGACGACGAAAACGTTCCCCAAAAAGGCAGACGATTGCAAGGTCTGCAATTCTGTTGTCGAACAAGTAGACTCTGCTTTCGAATGCAACTTTTGTAAGCAATGGGTACATTGTAGATGTGACACCGGAGTACCAAAGGTATATTACGATTTTATGCGTAAGAACCCATGCCCATGGTTCTGGTACATATGCCCAAGTTGCCGTCCTAATGCAGCCTCGTGTAGTTCCTCGAAAGCTAAAGATGGCATAGAGGTATCAGGAAAAAACGTGAAACGTTTTACTCCCACCAACTCAGTAAACAGCACAATTGCATGTAAATCGGGGATACCAAAATCCACACCGGTTATACTTGCAATTCCTGCCATAACTGCCCCAGACACAGAGGTTGAAGCATCAAGGGTACCTGTCGCTGGGAAAAGACCCTTACCGTCCACCAGTAAAAGTGGCCACAGCACTGCGACACACAATAATACCCAGTTGCACCAGACGAAACAAAACGGTTTTAAGGGGGATGACAAACGTGCGAGGACCGAACCTAAATCCACGGTTAGTAGATCAAACTGCGTTATCCTCTTTAATTTACCAGACTGTAGCAGTAGTCTGCTGGAAAACAGGGCCCTGTTTGATCAGGAACAGTGGTCCAACTTATGTAGCACACTGGGTCTGGACATCCAACCAGTAAAACTATGCAGATTGTATAAGGGCACTGCTGCTCCTCAAGGCAAACCATCCCCACTGAGGGTAACACTGGGCTCTACCGAAGATGCCGAAAAAGTTTTATTGACTTCCCAAGTCCTTTCTATAGGGAGGACCTGCAATATACGTGTTAGGCCAGATAGGCCATGGAAGGAAAGACAGATGGCGAGGGAGTCGCCAGAGCTTATTCCTTCTGCCTCCATGGTTGTTCACGGCATTCCCGAACTGGTAACTGGGAACGGTTGTGAGAAGCACTGTCACGATGTACAGCAATGGAGATGGTTGGCATCCCAGATGGGTCTGGGAAGTTCAGGGGCTGTCTCTATTTATAGACTGCCTCGACCCACTCACCTTATGTCAATTAACACGCCACGTCCGTTAGCTGTTAAGCTCAGCTCCCGAGACCACTTGACTACTGCTCTCCAGAGATGGTACGAGACCAAGGACAAGGTCAGCAGACACATTCGCTGCTGCGAGAGCCGGCCTCGTACCCAAAGGAGAGAACAAAACGTTGTCATAGAACATCCCCAACCCCTAGTCACAATACAGCGGTGCAGCACGGACGATGATAGCCAGTGTCATCCAAGCGCTCCGATTGAATCAGAAGAAAAAAACGCCAACAGGCCGGTTCCCGGGGAATCGGCCAACTAGTTTGTAGGATAACTCCTCAACCGACAGCCCACATCACGTCAACCACCCCCCAATACGGGCACGTGGTGAGACTGACTACCAGTTGCCTGTACAGTAACGTGGGAAGTCTAAGAGGCAAAATAGCTGATACCTACAATCACAGCTGAACTCCAAAATCATAATACTGATGGAAACCTGGCTAACCCCTACGGTGGCAGATAGCGAAGTCAGTGTAAATGATATGGTCCTAGTCAGGCGAGATAGGGACCTGAAAGAGGGAGGTGGAGTCGCCATATACGTCGACAAACAGCTCAAATGTGTCCATGCAATCGACCCTCCCCTCATTGAGCTCCCTGACTCCATATGGCGCCATTTCACTGTTGGGCACTGTAAATACCTAGGTGGCAGCATTTATAGATCACCTTCATGTGGAGCAGACCACAACCAGGTACTGCTGAATGCAATTTCAGCGACACAAGACATGGGTTATGATCAAATTGTCATAGCTGGAGACTTCAATGCCCCATCTCCTAACTTGATGACGGGATACGCCCATTATAGATTTGATCGAAATCTGCTGCATACCATCAGGGAGGCTGGATTCACTGAAAATGTCAGGATGGATACTAGATGGGGCCCAGATGGGAAGTCTTCTAGACTGGATTATGTGCTCACTAGTGACCGGCTACTAGTGGAAAACGTTCAGATCACGACTCCCATAGGTAGTAGTGACCACGCGGTCATATTACTCGACATAGTCCTCCACGAGCGCTTACAGTGGGACAATACACAGCCCTATCTGTGTTACAACAAAGCCAATTACACCGAAATGCGAAGATTTTTGGCTGAAGCAAATTGGCCAAAAAATTGGACAGAGCTTACAGTAGAAGAACACTGGGGAGTGGTAAAGGAGATCATTCACCAGGCGGTCTCAGACACTGTTCCTTTAGTCACACCAAAAGCTAGAAAGCAACATTCATGGCTAAAAAGGGGGACACAACGCCTTCTGCAGGCGGAGCGAAAAGCCTGGTTTGCGTGGCGAATATTGAAGAGTCAACCAGAACACGAAGTGTACCTTGAACTCAGGAATCGATGTAACATACGGGTCCAGAGTGAGGGAAGGACATTTCAGAGAAACCTCGCCAACAAGCTTCTCGTGAACCCCAAAAGCCTATACAGGTTTATGTCTGAAAGAAAACCGACCAACCAGGGAGCATGCAATCTAGTGGGTTCTGATGGGAAATCTCTTACTAGTCTTGAAATGGCAGAGACATTCAGTCTAGCCTTTCACAGGCAACTGAACAGTTACGAGGATTTTACCCCCACAAAACATCAAGATTACAATGCAAGACCAACGTGCGAAAACCTGCTGGGTTCATTTCAAATTACCCCGGCTATGGTACTCGTAAAATTGGGAAAGTTGGCTTCGGGAAAGTCTGCAGGTTGCGATGACATAAGACCATCCGTCCTGAAGCAGTGTTCAGAAAGTCTCTGCCAACCCCTAAGTGATCTGTTTCAACACTCCTTCGATGTAGGGAAACTCCCAGTGATATCGAAGATATTGGAAAGTCTCATTGACGACCACATGAGAAAATACTTCGACGGGACTAACCTACTCCATGAAGCACAGCACGGTTTCAGGAGAGGAAGATCCTGTGTGACGAATCTTCTACTAGCTTGGAACGATTGGACACTATCCTGGGACTGCTCTGCGCTTCTTAACGCCGACGACGGAGAGATTTGGAGAGCAATAAACTCATCGGAAGACTCCGACAGATTGCAGGCTGACCTGCAAACTCTGGGAGACTGGGCTCTGGCTAACGGAATGCCTTTCAACCTAAAGAAGTGCAAAGTAGTGCAACTTCATTCCGGCAGGTCACATTGTGCAAATTACACCCTTGGTGGCCAGAACTTGGGTTGTGTGCCACCAGAATGCAACCTAGGTCTTATTTTAACAGACACCAGTGTAAATTACACGGGTGACATCGCCAAAGTTTACGCTACTTTACACTTTATGCATAGGCAGCAGGGAGCTCTTACTCCTGAACTATTCTTAACTTTGTATACAACATACGTGAGGCCACTCCTTGAGGTGCATAATATCATTACTCCTCCGCTACTCAAAAGGGATGCTAACATTCTAGAAAGTGTCCAGAGACGAGCGACAAAATGGGTGATCGGCCTCCGCAACAAATCATATGAGGAAAGACTGAAGAGATTAAGTCTTTTCACACTTAGTTACCGTAGTCACAGGGGAGACCTCATCACCGTCTATAAGATCTTAAATGACCAGGCCCACCCTAATAAAAGCATCCTGCCATTAGGTGATTATAGGCTTCCACGATGTAACCCGCTAAGTATAGCACACCAGAGACCAAAGACTCGAGTGCGTTCACATTTCTTCTCGCTTCGAGTTTGCCGTCTCTGGAACGCTTTACCGGCAGCCGTAACTACAGCTCCATCTGTGGAGACTTTTAAGCGGAAGCTGGACAATCATGCAGAAATGCGTGGTTTGTGTCTCAATGGCTTATCCTCTTAAAATTTGAAACCACATTGTCAATGGATAAGCGTACAAGCTAAATCCCCACGACCCGTCCTATCTTCTCTCACTGTACCGACTACTCTATCTTTTCTTTGGACACCTTTATTATTTCACTTATCTCAACCTATATTATCTACACTACAACCTATTATTATTCTGCTTTTATGACTACACTGAATGACCAACGGGTGTTAGGTCAAACTCCATTCACGGCAGCAGCTGAGTCCTAACATACTGCACACTACAAACCACAATCTTGACCAATCCTCGCACCACTCCTCTTGGAGTCTACCAGAGCTAAAGCAGTCGAGTGGCGGGACTTACTACGCATAAGTTCACCGAAGATCTGGAACCTCTACCTTACAATCAAGAAGCGAGCTCAAAGAAATCACTGGTTTATACTAGCTCGCAATCAGGATATAGGATATATATATACTGTATTCTTGTTACGAAGATCGGAAAGCAGGTATCAAATGTCTCAGTAAGCAGTGTAATACATGTAGGGTACATGTTTTCAGTTGACATAAACTGGGTTTCCACTCACTTTCCGAACTAATCTTGAGTTCATTTGGAATAAGCTAGTTGACCACATCAGTATTGCGGGAATACTGTGAAAGTAAGTAAACACCTGCTTCATAAGATTAAGCGATACATTTAATTGATATGATTGTATTATTATTAGTCGTCTATCCAAGTTAATGATGGATTCGTTGAGGTAATACTACCTTTTAGTGTTTTTATAGTCACTATATGAACATGAACGTTATTATTATTAATACTGTCAAAACTCTTATTATTTGTCATAAAGCCGTTGTCACTTTTGTTAAAATCTTTGTTCAAGCTTTGTAAACTATTGCATAACTTGTCGTTAAATAATTTTTCATTTCATGATGCTTCGATAGACCTACTAGATATCGACCGACAATAAATTGCGAAGTCCCTTAAGTTTAGTGAAAAGTATTTAGCTACTTATATATATATTGTTTGTAAAGTGATTACTTGTAAATGCTTATCAAGAAAATTTTTTTATTCAGATCAGTTAATAATGCTTTTCTTAAACCTTTTCAGGCTTATGGAGAAACACATATGTGTTGTGTACGCAGATGGAACCTACTGACAGTAACGGAGGACTACTCATCTGAATTATCTGTACATCTCAAATCTAATTTTCGTTTAATAAACATTTTTTCAAAGAATCCGTGTTCCTTCTGTTGTAACGCGATTGTGTTCCAGTAACATAAGTAAAACGTGCCAAGTTAGGAATTAAGGGTAAACTGTTGGAAGTAAATGCAACGTCTGGGAAACTTTTGTTTACGCGATTAGATGAACAGATAGCAACGTACCATGTTCTGTGGCTGCGAAATGTAGGCATACTGTTGTTAATTATTACAATAGCCGTAGTTGTACTGAGTTATAAATCTAACAGTATAGGTGCATTATTCCCATCGCAAGCACACTATCTCAGGCAGATTTACTTTTCACCTTGTGACTATGAAACCGAAGTCAATTAATAGGTTCCTACTAAGACGGTGTATAACTCTAAGCGCTTATAATCTCAATGTTTTCTTTTATTTATTTTTTTATTATAGCTTGAAACCACGCAGTATTTTTGGTACAAGTATGGAATTTTCAGCATGTGATATCGGTAGCCCAAATTTTGCAGGCCGACCATTGATTTATGAGATGTGCGCTGGCAGGGGATCGAACCTCGGACCATGTGCATGGTCGGCGACAGTCCTAACCGCTGTGCCACCGACGCACATGTACCCATAGGGCTATAAGCCAATGAGTGTCTGTGTGTGTGTTTGGAGGCTTAAAGGTACGACCTAGTTGTGCCACCCATCCCTCAAAACTAAAGAAGGTGGTGGGGGGAAATCAGACACGCTACGGATTTCCTTAAAGTGTAAGTGCTTAGGCCAGTCAGTTTTCTGTAAGGAATTCACCGAATATAAGTACTTAAAACCGGAATACAATAAATAATTATTGAGAATAATCAGAGTGAACAACTGTTTTCAATAACTACCTCTTCTCCGAACTCTACAGTTATAAATCTCTTAAGGTTAGTGTAGAATAACCAGTAAAGGAGAATCAAAATTATGTCAGAAAGTGTATTGTAGTACAAGTACAATAATAGTCAACGTATGATTTAATATTGGACGAAGGAAAACTTTACTAAATATCAAGCATCATACAGGGAGCTGCACACCTACATTGCATCCAGTACTCTGGAATCACTTTCAATTTGCTTCGTGACCTTCCATAACATTTCATTTCCTCTTCACATAGTCTACTTCATGTCATTCAAGGACCCACGTCCAACTCGTCGCTTCTCATTTGTACGCGTTCCAGTCTATGGCCTACAGTTTCATATCACTTAAACGATTCCCAGGCTTATGTTTAATCCATCTTCATTCCATTTGGCGAACTTTGTTGGACAATTGGTTCCGTGCTGGTTCTCTGACAAAGCTTGTTGTTCCTTATCACTTGTAGCCTGCTATATGTCATTCATTACCAAGTAAAGACATTTGTTGACCCACGTCTGCAGTAGCCTGCTGAAAATGTTCTTGGTGACAAGCGAACCAAGTGTCCAAACTATAAAGACGCAGTGAATTGACTGACATTACCGTGGGGTATAGCAGGCTAAATATGAAGATAAATATTGGCTAGTGGTCGCACTATATCGTGATTTGGCAGAAGCTGGTTTAGAGGTTGCAGTATCGACGTTCGCGAGTTGTACGGATTATACTAACGCAAGATCTTATACCAACAACTTCTATAGTGTTCGCTCTTCGAGTACCAAAGATAAAGCAAAAGACCAAATTTTGTCGTCCAAAGTACGTAGTATATTCCGGGACAAAATCGCGGGTAGAGGTGAATGCTTAGCTAGCTAGTAATCGTGCACGCACGTGACACGACGGAGTACCAAATGGCGGAGATGCTTGACCGGAAGCCTTCAGCTAAACAAGTCGACTTAAACAGTGATGGTCAGCATCGAATGTTGAGTGATGATTGCTGTGGTTAATAATTTTGGGGAATTATTTACCGCTACAGCTCACTCCCCCCCTGGTGGGTTTGTGAGGACCCTAAGACATGACCAGCCGGAAGTAAAAAATCTCAATGGTTCCCTTATGGGTGAAAAAATCTTCCGAGCGGCTTGATCGAGAACCTGCTGGTCTGTCTGCCTATGCTAATAGGGTGTCGGTACATAGCTTCCTCGATGTTGTTCGTTGGGTCCCGTGCTTCGTTTGTTTCCTGTCCAGTGCCCGTTGCACCTGGAAAAGAAAACAAGAATGCTGAGAACCTTGTCAAGGAAAATGTACCAAATAAGCGTTTTTTTAAAAATGACGTGCATCTACTATACAGTAAAATAATGTAAAGTTCAAAATATCGAGAAAAAATACATCTAATTTAATTTTTTTCTAAGTGCATGTTTAATGTACGTTTATAGGAAAAATATCGTTTACTTGTGTTAAGTGATGCAACATAAGAAATTGATGTGTCACTCAGTTGTGTGAAATAGGTGTGAAGGTATTCTGGGAATGTAACGTGACGTCCAGAACGCATTTTCTTAGAGTGATCGACCGAAGTTTCGGTGTCTTTCGCCGTGCTAGGGAGTTCTTCGAAGACTAAAGGAGATTCAATTACTTGTGGATTATGGGGTACGTTTAGCTCTAGGCTGATAGGATTACCTTCCACGTAAGCTGGTTTCAGACGGTCGATACTGACGGTGTCTTCGCGGCCTATCTTGTCTAAGACGAAGAATTTATCCGTACGTTTAATTACTTTATATGGTCCGTCATACGGGAGTTCTAGAGGGCGACGCACAGAGTCACGACGAACAAATACGTGTGAAGAAGTTTTTAAACAGGGGTGAACGAAAACATCAATGGACTGTGGTCGGAGGGGAGCAGGTTTAACTGAACGCATTGCGTTTGTAAGCCTACTGACGTATGAAGTGTGATCTACCGCTGGTGGGCAGCTCGAGGGAGAAAGAAACTCACCTGGTAGTCGTAGTGTTGTGCCAAATACCAGCTCAGCAGTAGTACAACCAGCATCGGTTTTAAAGCGTTTCGTATCCCTAGGAGAACTAACGGAAGGGATTCAGTCCAATGGGTGTTGTTTGCAGCTGATAAACCAGCTTTCAACTGTCTGTGTAGACGTTCTACCATACCATTAGCTTGAGGATGGTAGGCTGTTGTTCGAAAACCAAGGATTTTGGTTAGAGCGAAGAATAAACCGCTTTCGAATTGCCGCCCACGATCAGTTTTTATGGAAGATGGGCATCCAAAGTTTGCGATCCATCTCTCTACAAAGACGCGTGCGACAGTTTCAGCAGATATATCCTTGATGGGTACTGCTTCAGGCCATCGTGTGAAGCGATCGATGCAGGTTAACATATAGGTATATCCATGAGATTCTGGAAGGGGGCCAACTAAATCTATATGGACGTGTTCGAAACGGGCATCGGGGATAAGAAAGGTGCCAAGGGGGCTTTTAATGTGTCTTATTACCTTGCTTTTTTGGCAAGCTAAGCACGTCTGTGCCCATTCCCTTACTTCCTTGTTAATACCAGGCCAACAAAACCGACTAGTTACGAGTTTGACGGTAGTTCGAATACCTGGGTGTGATAAGCCATGCAACGTATTGAAGACGTTACGGCGATAACTTTTAGGTACGATAGGGCGAGGAGTACTAGTGGAAATGTCGCAGAGAATAGTATCTTTTCCTATACCTAAGGGTTTCTCGGCTAATTGTAGAGTTGTCTTCGACAACTCAAGCTGAAGCTCGGTATCTTCTTTTTGAAGACGAGCCAGTTTCGCAAAGTCTATGCCGTCGATTTGGGTGAAGGAACAAATACGTGACAAGGCATCTGCCACAGTATTGTTCACTCCGGAAACATGGTGAATATCCGATGTAAACTGTGAAACGTAATCTAGTTGTCGTGATTCCCTGGGTGAATACTTATCTGAAGTTGAGTTCAGAGAGTACGTCAGAGGTTTGTGGTCAGTGTAAATTATGAATTCACGACCCTCAACTGAATGTCGAAAATGACGTATAGCACAGTACATAGCTAGAAGTTCTCTTCCAAATGTGCTGTACTTCGTTTCAGCCAATTGAAGGCGCCTCGAGAAAAAGGCGAGTGGTTGCCACTCTTTGTAAACTAGTTGTTGCAGAACTGCGCCGATTGCAGTGTCTGATGCATCAACTGAGATACTTAACGGTGCCGTTGGATCCTGATACACAAGAAGTGTGGCATCCGCAATAGCTTTTTTCACCTGAGTAAAAGCATGTCGAGAAGAGGTGTCGAGTTCGATAGACTTGTCGTTCCCTCGACGGAGATCTGTTAATGGCTGAATCGGAGAAGCACAATTAGGAATAAAACGTCGGTAATAACTTACCAAGCCGTTAAAAGTGCGAAGACTTTTCAATGTCTTTGGCTCCGGAAAGTTCAGTATCGCTTCGACTTTAGTAGCCAGTGGGCGAATGCCGTTGCAGTCAATAGTGTGACCCAGAAAATCGAGTGAGTCAACGCCCATTTGACACTTTTGGATATTGATGGTAACACCATGTTGGCGTAACCTTTCAAATGCCAAGTCCAAGTGTCTAAGGTGAGTTTCCTTATCTGGACTAGCAATGAGGCAGTCGTCTAAGTATGCATATACAAAGTCGAGACCGCGAAATACTTCATCGGTGAAGCGTTGGAATGTTTGGGCCGCATTCCGGAGGCCGAATGGCATACGTAGGAATTCGAAAAGTCCGAAAGGCGTGATGATAGCCGTTTTCGGAATATCTTCCGTTGCCATCGGGATTTGGTTATATGCTTTAACCAAGTGGATTTTTGAGAATATAGATGCTCCAGATAACGTTGCCGTCAAGTCGTGTATGTGAGGCAAAGGGTAGCAATCAGGGGTTGTTTTGGCGTTCACTCGCCGGTAATCACCAGTGGGTCGCCAATCGTTACTATCCTTTTTCGGTACCATATGCAATGGGGATGCCCATGGACTATTCGATGGCCGAATGATACCAAGGGTACGCATATGATCGAACTCATTTCTAGCAATTCTCAGTTTGTCAGGGGCCAGTCGTCGCGCTTTAGATGTCACGGGCTGTCCTGAGGTTATGATGTGGTGCATAACATTGCTGGTTATACACGGGAGATCGTTAGATGGGCAATTGAGTTCCGGATATTTGTCAACAATCGGTTGAAAAGTTGGATCGAGGATTGCTTTCATCTTAACGATTGACAAGCTGGGGCCTACGTAAGTTATGCCTTTTGATAGACAAACTAGTAGTGTTGTCAATTAGTCGTTTACGGCGGACGTCTACGAGCAAATCATGATGATTAAGTAGGTCCGTGCCAGTGATGGGCATTGTGACGTCGGCGATAAGGAAAATCCACTGAATAGGTTTGCGTAAACCTACGTTCAGATAGACGTATTTCCGACCAAAGGTTGCAATTGGTTTTCCATTTGCAGCCTGTAGGTTGAAGTTAGGATCCTTCTGTCGATCTGCTGCTGTAGCAGGAAGGACGCTGACTTCGGCGCCTGTGTCGACTAGATATCTAGTCTGGCTCATTACATCATGGATGTAAAGTAAGCGGCCAGTGCCACCGGCGACGGTTGCCGCTAACGCGTGCCGGCGGGATAGTTTCCCACAGACTTGGAGGCTTTGCCGAAATCACAAGGTTTTCGACATTTCGCTTCCTTGCCATAGGTGTTGTGATACCAACACCAGTCAGGATTTTTGAGACGGCGTGTGTTGGACTTAGGTCGTCCACGTGCGTTTTGCCGTTGAGGGGATTTGGAACGACGGTAGGAGGAATTGCTAGGCTTGTTTGACCTAAGCATCTGCTGGACGGAGTTGATTAACTCTATCATTGCAGAATCCTTCTTCGAAGTCTGTTCGGTAACTGAGTATACTTCGGTAACTGGCCGTTTCGTTATCTCTAGAATTCTATCTGCAGAGACAGCTAAGTCATCTATGAGAACACTTTGAAGTGTCACAAGTACAGTCTGAACTGACTGTGGCAGTTTGGATAAAAATAGTTCTCTGAACAGTCCTTCATCGAACTGACTTTGGCCAATGATCTCTTTCATTCTTGCCAGCATGCTCACGGCTGACTGATCCCCTAACTTGAAGTTACGAAATAACTCATCCAGACGTTGTCGATCCGTGAGAACGTTTCTCTTGAGGAGGGATGCTTTGAGCAACTCGTACGAGTTACTTACCTCTGGACCCGACATCTGCAGAGTTACGCACCTGCTGAATTCCCGCGGTAGGGCGTGAATAACTGCAAGGAACTGTGAACGTTGATCAGTTATGCCATGTTCACAAAAATCAGACTCAGCAATCTGAAACCACGTTTCAGCATTATCTGGCCAATATGGTACTAGCTGGATTGTTTTGGCGGTTGAGCGAATCCGAATAACCTTGGGGCTAGTATCACTCATGACGAAAAGTATGCCAATAACAATATAGTACAAGAATAAACACAAAAAGGAACGAACTCACCGGGTTTATCTGCGTGTGAATTGAAGATGAAGTTCGTGGTTGGGCTCACCAGTTTAGAGGTTGCAGTATCGACGTTCGCGAGTTGTACGGATTATACTAACGCAAGATCTTATACCAACAACTTCTATAGTGTTCGCTCTTCGAGTACCAAAGATAAAGCAAAAGACCAAATTTTGTCGTCCAAAGTACGTAGTATATTCCGGGACAAAATCGCGGGTAGAGGTGAATGCTTAGCTAGCTAGTAATCGTGCACGCACGTGACACGACGGAGTACCAAATGGCGGAGATGCTTGACCGGAAGCCTTCAGCTAAACAAGTCGACTTAAACAGTGATGGTCAGCATCGAATGTTGAGTGATGATTGCTGTGGTTAATAATTTTGGGGAATTATTTACCGCTACACTGGAATTCATGGGCTGGCTGTTGCATCGTTTCCCAGTGGCTTAATGGTCTTAGAGCTCATCTCGCAAACGGAAGGTCCTGGGTTCCTTGTGCTGAGTGCCGTTGATCTCCACACTGAGTAGTGCAAACCTATCTTGCAATTCTCTATCCTGGTTTTGACATTCTCATCCATGCCGCATGAAGTGAAAACCATACTGGCCAGGTAATTGATAACTTCCTTCACGTTTCTCTGGACAAGGAATAGTTGGTGCTTGTTGTAAGTCGGTTAATCATCTTTTCACCTCTCAAAACACCAAACAGCATTTATTTTCACATTTACGAGCGGACGCACTAACTTCATTACGGTGCGACAAAGTCTATTTATCAATAAGCCTTTCCGAATATCTAATTTCACTCAGCATTTCTAAGATCACGTCATATACTCCGTACCTCACAACTTACGCAAAGGCTAGAAATAAGTCTTATCAAGTAGAATATACAAACAAATAATGAGGAATACATTTATTAATGAATAAACATGTAATACAAAATCAACAACACTGCAGATATCTTTTTCTTTATTGCCCAAATCCATGAAATTCCCAAAAGTAAATATTTTCTGAAACAAAACATAAGAATTCTAACGATGTAGACATCGTTACCACTGTAAATGCAATAATTAACCCTGCTAAACATGTTTAAAACAACGAAATAATTAGTTAAATTGTATATAATTACGTCAGTCGACATTTTTCAAGAAGAAAAAAAGGATATTGCATCTTCCTGTAAACATCAAGTCTATGCCATAAAATAAGTAAATACTATGCGTATATAATTTCTGTGCGTCGGTGGCATAGCGGTTAGGATGCTCGCCGACAATGCACATGGTCCGGGGTTCGATCCCCGGCCGACGCACTCCTCTACCTCGCTAAGCCAGAAATAATGCTGGTAAAGAGGAAAGGTTGGGCATGAGGCTAGCAACCCCATCTTGTAAAATGAACACTGCTACAGAATCTCCAAGTCACTAGCTTGAAGCCCTATGTTCCACTGGGGAACGTGAAGGAAAAAAATATATAATTTCTAAGTATTTCTGTAGATTTCCTTTAATTTAATACATGTGGAGGAGCTTTGACAGCACTCGCAAAAGTACACAACAAAGTTAATGAAATAATTAACAAAGCGAACTATCCCACCTCATCGTGTCCATGTATAATCCTTTAAACTGCAAAAAAATCATTAAAAGTCGTTATAACATGTCTCTTCAAGTAATTCCTCATTTTCTGAACAGAAAAGTATGTGTTTCAACAATTTGTAAACTGACCATAAATTACGCCGGATAAGGACACCACTGTTTGCTGTTTATGCTGAAAACGCCTTATTCCATCAAATTTTAGCAGGAATATAAGTGTAAAAGTGTGTAAAACAACGAAAAATTACCTAATTGTGAGGTTTTTTCAATTAATAAAGCCAGCTGATCAAATGACCTACGGCCGTATACACGCTGCCTCCGATTGGCAGCTATTATTATTATTATTGCTATTTGAAAGCCTGCCTCAGTAACGTACAACACGTATAAGCGGCTGGACTTATATATCACGTTCTGTTAAAATTTCGCTTGTAATTTTTTTTTGTCGATAATTTTTAATAAAATTGTGCTATATGTTATCTGTATTGATGGGAATTCTCATTTCCTGGCTAGTTATGTTAGTATCCGCGTCATGTGATCTAACTGCGACACACTCATAGTATATTGGTTGCAACGATTAATGTTTCAGGCGGACTGTTTCGAAATATCGCTATAATGAGGAAAATAGGGTAGTTGGAGGGTCATGTCATCTACACAAATAGTCTACTTTATTTAGAAGCTGCACCTTTCGGCATGGTGTCATTCAATGAAGACTTCAAGTCTCAGGATATTAATTCAGCCTATTTTCGTGTGAAGAACAGTTATTTTTGACAAAAGAATTCTATCAGTACTTGGAAATCACCTGTTAATGCTAACAAAACCTTCTGTGGGAATAGAAGTGATCATGTAGATATGTCTCACCGTATGTGTGTTTGGACAGGAATTATCGTAAGTTAAGAGGATATTTCTAAGTGTATTTCATGTATATTTGCACAGTTCGGTGTAGCATAATATGAGTTATGTGGACTCAATGTATAAAAAATATTTCAACTGTAATAATATTGTGCCATTGTCTACTTAGCTGACTGATAGGCTAACAAATGTAGGTGATTCTCATGATTATTGCAAGTGCAGTGCAGTGGAGAAGGTAATTACTCGTTTAAATCTCCTTAATGTTTCACTTAATGCATTAATTCAGGGTGTGGTATGACTATACAAGTGGATTGTGTTGATTATGAGAACTGAATCTATTGTTATACCATTTTCACTGACACTGTATACTTAATGCTGCAGTATTTTTGATCACCAATAGTGGTGATGAATTCCTCCTGGAATTTCCATTACATGAAGCAGTACAGATGCAGTGTCACGATCGAATGTCTAGGTTGCATTATGTCATTGTTATCCTCATCAACACAACAGGTGTGCGTATCTTATAATATTTGAAGTATTTCTCTATTCTGTTAACACTGTGCATAACTGTTTAGAGTTGAGACCTATGTACTTTATATTTGATGGCTATAGTTTATTAAATATGAGAATGTAATTTTTGTAGGATTCAAAATACTCTGTTCACTAGACCTTACTGAGATTGTGGATCAATTTCTAAGTGACGCATTTGCAATACTTCATTTAATGTAAACGTATTTAGTGTGAAGTTGATCTGCAGGTAAGGTTGATGAGAGAATGACGCCTCAACAGTATGGAAGTTTCAAAGATTGTCTTGAAATTTGCGTATAATCCTCTAATACTGGAAAACATTTGAGGTCTATTGATGCTTACGGTGTCAATATAAAAACCAGCTGTGGACTGCAAATACATTTATTTGCATGAGATACTACTTAGTATTAACAGAATCAGTGTATTCTAAATGTAGAATTATCTTTCATAACTTCACGTTGTGCTAGTTCTTACATGTGCTTTATTTTTTCAGGTATCCGGAGGTTGTCGAATATGAAATCAGCGGAAATATCATTCGGTCAAACTAACGCTAATACCCTTCATCGGGATTTTCTTTTGTAAATTAATGAAATGTTTAATATACTCTTCAATTCTACTTCCTCTAGACTTTTTCAGTGCGTCGCTATACTATGTGCTTTTGCAATAAGTGAATTCGGATCAATGCATGTTAAGCTTAGTTAGTGGGATGGAGATTTACTATAGTATTATGAGACTGTTACTTTAGCCCTTCGTAAGATTTTGTGTCTGTTTCCGTACAGTAGCACATTGTAAAAACTAAGTAAGATTTAGCAAGTTAAATAATAATTTTGTACTGTTCGATACGCTAAAGTCGCCTTATCTAGCTAGTTGCAAGTCTGTACTGTTAAACGCCAAGTCTATAGTACAAGTAAGTGTAGTAACTTAGGCTTGATAGCTACTTCACTAATCTGTTAACATGCAGTGACATCATCAAATAGACTGTTCACTTGACAATGAGCAAAGAAACAATTTTTATTTATTTCTAATATGCCGTTGAATCAATTGATGCTATCTGATATCCATCATTTCTATGATCAATACCTGCGGTATTTGCATATCTACTTTATGGATATTAAATAACTTACGCCTTTGTGCATATAATTACCTCCAGTATTCCCTATTCATTTGATGTGTGTACACTAAACAAGTCTTTCATACATTCTCCCACAAATGCCAAGTTTTCTATTGTCAAGTGTTAATAAGAGTTACTTCTCTGGTTTCAATACAGATGACGTTCTAAACTATCTCCAGTTGCTGAATTCTTGTTGCCAGCTGTTTGGAAACACATTGAAATTGTACATATACCTAAGTCATCTACTGGAACCTGTATTAAATTTAGACCTATTGCTATTATCTCTCCTTTTCTAAAAACTATGGAAAGGTTACTCCTACTTCACTTAAAGCCTTTAACGATCCCAAACAATTCGTCTATAAACTCAGTAGAAGTACTTTAGATGCAGCTGCAGTCTTGCATTACAACATTTCCTCCGGTATAGACGAGGGGGCTGAATTTGTTCTCTGCACATTCCTAGATTACACACCTGCTTTCGACTCAGTATCTAGGGACATTTTGTTAAATAAGCTTGCTGAAACTCAAACTGACTGTTGGGTTGTCAAATGGCTGCATTCTTATTTATCAGGGAGAAAGCAGTACACTGTATGTCAGAGGAAGTCATCCACCACCACTGTACTAAGATGAACAGTTCTCTATCAGGAGTCACAAAATGCTTTTAAACTAAATTCCTCCAAATGTCAGACTGTCAATTTCAGTTTCCGATGTAAAAGAAAGTTAGATGAGGCTGTTAATTCCTATGACCGTTGCAAAATTGATGATAGTGGTACAGAAAACAAGTCTGACGTTAAGTATCTCGGACCAATTCATCACACAGCGTATTGGCCTTAAATGTATACCACACGCATGCAGAATGTTTATTAGCTAGGTATGCAAATCAAGGTAACGCTTGTACGGTACACTCATTATTTATAAAACTAACTCATATGTGAGAACTACGATTTGACCAGTTATATAACGTGTAATATATTTAGACAAAATAAACATACACTGATTACTTCTATGACGCATTACCTAAAGCTACCTTAAAATAGTTCCCCCTGAAGGTAATCTCCTGTTGCTACTACCTTAGTGAGCAAATTAACTTTACAAATATAATTTTATAAATTAACTTTATCTTTGAATTACAAAGTAAAAGCGGACATACTGAGAACTTTCTGGGTAAAAAGCTCGTTTCCTAGTCGAAAACATAAACATATCCTAATCTCCACGAAAGCGTTGAGAGGTATTTATTCTATCGCCTCAAATGAGTCACTATTTGCTGTCACTTAAAAAGTAAAAATAAATTTACCGAAGACATTGTGCTTATGGTTTCTAGATATCATAATGCACCATGAGGAATAAGCTATATCCATACGGTTATAACAATTCGATGCGCGATATAAATCCGAAACACAACGACTACGATTCTCAATCACAGAACATTCTACTTTGCTACCTAATCGTCTAATCGTATCAATAGATGCTTCTCCAAGAAAAAGAAGACCATTGGTTCAAGGAAAATTTATTTAAAGTTTTCTTAAAAATCATGGGCAACCGTGTTTATAGCCACGGGGAAATCACAAGCATCCGAAAAATAGGAATTTCATTATTTGAACTGAAACAAGCAATTTGTAACCAGCCAATTTTTTCACCCCGAATAACAATCAGCTTCTCAGCTTGTTGTAACTTCGAAAAAACCACCGATGGTAGACCGAAATCCTAATAATAATGCTTGCTAATTAAAGTCTTACCTCTATTTAGGACAGTTCGTACACTGACCAGATAATCGTATGCTATCCGCTTTTCAAATCGTTTTGAAACAAATTGAATGGTTGTTAACACCGCCTTTACTACAGGCAGTCCTAGTTCATGCGTTTGGATTTAGTGCATTAGGCATTCTTATTGTCTCCTAATTTTGCTTCCAAAAGTCTATACAAACACCGCACATTCATACTTCACATGTGGCTCATCCTTGCTTGATTTCGATTCTCTCACAATATATCTAATTTTTAGGTGACAACAGACACCTTGTCAAAAAGCTTCAAAGCTTTTTAAACTTCAAACCAGGTTCTAAATTCTCTAGGTTTAATTTGTTCGAAAACTTTGCTAATATCAACCCTGATCGTGCTCTCTTCAGCAGATTCACTCGTTGATTGTTGCATGCTGTAAAAATGGACGTGAATGACACTTTTTTTCCAGATTCCTACATATGAAGTAACCAATTGAGCCAGCAACAATAACGGCAACCAAAATTGAACTGGACCAATGGCTTCTGCCTCCCAAACATGTTCATGTGCATAATTTACAAAACTTCTACACAGTACTAATTCATTAATAGCTGAAAAAAAAACCCTGAAATCATGCATGAAAGTAACGTATGAAACAATAACAATGAAACGAATGCACTGACCTGATGGTAAAAACTTTCGAAACCAACGAAATAACTAATTTCAACAGCAACGGAAACAAAAATGAGGTGAAACGTAACATTTGTGAACAATACGTATCAAGATAAGTTGTGAATAACTGCAGAATAAAACGAATGTGTAAACGAACGGCTACGGAACTGTGCGTCGGTTGCACAGCGGTTAGGACGCCCACCGACCATGCACATGGTCCGGGGTTCGATCCTTGGCCGACGCATACCCGATATTAATGGTCGGTCTGCAAAATTTGGGCTACCGATATCACAAGCTGAAAATTCCGTGCTTGTGCCAAAAACACTTTGTGGAGTCAAGCTATAATCAAATAAAATTAAAAAAATAAAACTGCAATCCAACATGGCCGACAAACACGAACGAAAATGCCCTTTGAGCGTCCCACTTCACCAATGACCTTGGACGTGACAGACAATTTCAGCCCGTGTAATCCTCAACGTTTATGCAAAGGAAAGTCTACCAATCACAGTGTGCGTAAGTGACCTTCAAGTGCTCAGCCTCTCCATAAACCATTTGTGACGCTGTCCTCTGTTTATTCAGATTTTTGAATACACAAGCACTAGTCTTATCTTTCACGTAGTCACGCTGATCCAAACTGGCAGATAGAAGTTTGTATATCGGGAACATTAATCCCAGGATAACTGCTGACCTTCTATATGAACTCTTTCTTCAAGCAGGACCATTAGAAGATGTGACGGTGAAAGAAACTTTTGCTTTCGTTACATATGAAGACGAAGAGTCTGTTCCATATGCATGCACACTTTTCGAAGGTCTCACTTTACATGGGACAGAGCTTATTATTCGTCCGAGGCAAGGATCCAAATTTGAAAATCAGAAAATTCGTTCTGTCCCACCTTTCACCTATCAGTTTCGGAGACCTAAAACTGATCCACACTCATTTTTGCCTCACCGTAGCGATTATGATGGCAGAAGAGATATACATTATCCTGATCGTCAACGTGATAATTTCGTGAATTTTCACTCACCATTTCCCAATTGGCACGGGTTTCACAGTCAGGAAACTAATCATTTTTCTCGATCTGGGTATCCGAATTCTTCTGTGCAGCCGTTAGCCTTTCCACCCTTTGCTTGGCCATACAGCCCTCCACCACACTTTGAAAGGCATTCAGCTGATCGCATAAGATCCGAAGATCGCTATGGGAATAAAAGGTCGTCAAGAAACACTGATAGAAGAGATCGCAGCCCTCAACACCACTATACGGGACCCGTACGTAGGACCCCCGAGAGGCGTTGCCGATAGTACATCTGTCTATAGTGATGTCCGTGTTGTATAAATCTGTCTTGTCTTGAAATTTTTTCCAATAGAATTTCCAAAGAATTCGTGTTCTTCTTGTATCTGGTGTGTATGTAAAATTTCATTTTAGGATATTTCCCATACTGATTTCATCCAAGCTGGAATAAGAAACACGAAGAATGTCGTGATTGTGACATCCGGTAAAGGAGGTGTTGGAAAGTCCACTGTTGCAGTTCAGGTTGCCATCGGCTTATGGATGAGTGGTTTTCGTGTCGGTATCCTTGATATTGACTTCTGTGGACCGTCTACACCCCGGATGCTTGGTTTGGAAAGCAATAAGGTTAGTTCTTGTCAAAGAGTTTATTTTCAACTTCTCACTTCACTTGTTTTCCTTAGCTATTTCAGTGCACTTGAGCCACATCACTTATTAGTTGGTTGAGGTATCATAAACTAATTAGAAGTCACGTATATATATATATATATATATATATATATATATATATATATATTTAAAAGTTAGTCTCTTTTATAAATTTTGATATAGAAGGCATTGTTACTTCTGGTCTACACTCGGGTATATTTATTAGTATCCGACTTCTATTTTATATCTTTAATCCACAACTCATGGGATCTTCGAATCGAAATCGAGCCGTGCTTACAGAGTTGTAGGATAGCTATGATAGTTTTAATTATAACGAAACAACTTTAGTCTTCTAGTAAATTACTTTCCATGCACCTCGCAAATATCTTGAACTAAATTGCTTCTTGCAATTTGAACGAGATGGGAGTCAATCTTGGGAAGTATCTTCAAGGGAGTGGAAAATTAGGGGGAATATTTTAGTATTGGTTAGTGAAGACCAAACTGTTTTTCATCCACTATACTTATGTGATCGTCCCGACTAAATATTGTCGGTGAGTTTAGAAACAGTAAAACTTGTGTGCTTTTCCATCGTTGACTGTCCATTGGATGACAGTCTAGGGGAGATGGCTAAACCCTGATTCCAAACCTCCAAAGACTGGCGTATGAAGCTCACTGGAGCTCACCGGCAGACGTATGGACAAAGGGCGTGTTGGATGTCTGGCCCCATTCAAAAAGGCGTATGAACCGAACTCCGGTCACCGGCTGCCAATGGATAGTGGACTCCCTACTCCACTCCTACTGCCTTGTAGGTCACACTTGGTTGTGTAAAGGCTAGAGCTGCACTCTCAAACAAAAGGCCGAGCGATTCTGGGGACTTCACTCGTACCAAATTCCCATGAAACTTCATGAACTTTCTTAATTGGATAACCCTGTCGCAAAACGTTGCATCAGATCGCCGCTCCTGGGCAGCGATGATTCGAGATGTTCATGAAGCCGGCTCATCCTCCCGTAGGAGATAGCCGAAGTAAAGTAAAAGTAAGCTTTTCCATCGTCTTTTAGTGAATTGTTTCAAACTTGTCAGACAGTTTACATCATCTTTTTTTCCAAATAACTACACCACGTATCTTAATAGGTGTTCTCTGGCGGAAGCTGTTCCAACTCATCCGAGCCACCGGCAGCAAGAAACAAGGTATCAGCGAGACGGTCTGTGAGGCAGATGGCACGCCAATTACCAGTTTGAAAAGACGCTTGGAACGCTGGGCAGAGCACTTCGGGAAACAGTTTAGCTGGCCACCAGCTTCAATGTCTGCTGTCATTAGCCCCAGTGCTCCTTGGTCGGTTAATACCGACCCACCCACCGAAGCGGAGGTCCGTAAGGAACTCCAAGTGTTAAAACGCCATAAGGCGCCCGGCCCAGACAATTTACCCCCGGCTCTTTTTAAAGATGGTGGCGAGACTCTTACAATGGCTCTAACTGGGTTGTTCAGGAAGGTATGGGAAACTGAGAGTGTACCATCAATGTGAAACGAAGCCATTATCGTCCCCATCTTTAAAAAGGGTCGACGTAATTCGTGTGACAATCATAGGGGTATCAGTCTGCTACCAGTCGCGTCTAAATTATTGGCTTCTGTCTTGCTTCGCAGGCTGTGCAAAATACGTGAAGGATTGATTCGCGAAGAGCAGGCTGGGTTTCGTTCAGGTCGTGGATGCATTGATCATGTGTTCACCCTTCGTCAGTTGTTGGAACACCGCCACACGTATTGCAGGCCAACGATCGTTGTGTTTCTTGATATTAGGGCTGCCTTCGATTCGTTGGACAGAACTGTGCTCTGCAACTGTCTGTTAGAGAGAGGTGTACCTGAGAAATTTGTTAACATCTTGAAAGCCCTATACAGAAACACCTCAGGTAGAGTGAGGGCATACAACCAACTATCATCACTGTTCCCAACCAACAGTGGGGTTAGACAGGGTTGCTCACTCTCTCCATTTCTCTTTAACTTTGCCATCGATGACATTCTGGAGTCAGCTCTGAAGGATGTGCGTGAAGGTGGTGTAGATCTGCTACCTGGAGATAGACTTTTCGACCTTGAGTATGCAGACGATATCGTCTTACTGTGCGATAGCATGCAGGCTGCCCAAATCGCACTTAATCAGTTGGCGATCAGTGTCTGTAAGTATGGTATGTGCTTTGCACCGTCTAAGTGCAAAGTACTGTTACAAGATTGGCAGGAGCCTGTACCTGCACTCACTCTTGCGGGTGAACCGCTTGAAGTTGTTGATAAGTTTGTGTACCTGGGTAGTTGTGTGAGTGCTGGCGGAGGGGTGACGGATGAGATTTCCAACCGTATAATGAAGGCTAGGGTAGCATACATCAACTTGTGCCACCTCTGGTGCCGTCGCGACGTTAGCCTGGCTGTCAAAGGTCGGGTATACAATGCTTCGGTACGGGCTGTCTTGCTCTACGCCTGCGAAACCTGGCCTCACCGAGTTCAGGATGTGCGGCGACCCTGCATATTCTATTGTCTCTGTCTCCATAGAATTGCTTGCGTTTGATGGCATCATCGCGTGAGTAATTCTGAGGTCCACAGGCGCTTGTTTGGACAAAGTGGAGATCATCATTCGTTGAGTGTCATCATCTGGAAACACCAGCTTTGGTAGCTTGGACATGTGCTACGAATGTTATCTCAGAGGCTTCCGTACTGATCTATTTTCGCTATCCCTGGGACGGGATGGAAAAAGTGGAGAAGTGGTCAGTCCATGACGTGGCGTCGTGGGATGAAGGATATTTGTGCTAGATTAGCATCGGTTGGTGTGTCACGACTCCCTGGTTGGGGTCCGCGAGATAGCTCAAATCGATGGTTCGAAACGTTATCGGATATGGCCAAGAATCGTAATCAATGGCGAACTTGCTGCTATTTCCTTCTTTCTTCCCTTCCTGATGATAGTTAATGAATACTGTTTGAACTTGTTAAACATGACTGTTTTCCTTCCTGATGAAGTTCTTTATCCGTTTTCTACCTATTTTTACTTTTAATCTATGTTGTTTTATTATTATTGTGTGGCGCATCTTTCTTGGTGCCATATTGTACCAAGTTTTTCTGCGTTTAAATAAAATAAAATAAAAAATCTCTATATATAATTTCCCTTTCCATTACATATGTTTCATTTCCACTCTTCATCCTAATAATTTTATTTTTCATCATTAGATGTAAAGTGCAAGTGTGACACATAATACTGTCGCACTAAATCCCTCTTTAATTTCTTGTGCTCATTTTACTTAGAACTGAAAGCTTGTGGATTCAACCCTAAATGATAGACATTTCGTTTCGAGTTATGATCGAAATGGCTATAATTTAAATTAAAAAACCTTGTGTATTTATTAGATGAGTATATTCGCTGCTTTGAAATGCAGTGGGATAATAGAATGTTTGTCAGAGCTTCAGGAATAGCGATAGAAAAAGAAAGATTTCATTTTTAATATCTATTATTAAATCGCAAAATACTCAAACTTTTCAAATGCCAACACTATCCTAAATCTAGTGGAATTTACGTGACGGCTTTGGTTTTCAATTGCAATCATCAGTGTGAAAGCCTGTTTATTCTAGTGGCCTAACAACCCTTGGCCGTTCTATAAAGTGGGTGTATGGTCTGCACCATATGCACTATTGCCATTGAAGCAAGATTGGTTTGCGTGGAAATCTAAAGTGATAAGACCATTTACAAGTTAGGTGTTCCTAATCGTGGAATAAAGTGTAAGTTGTCACGTCGGGAGTCTGAAGATGTTGAGAATCAACGATTGAAGATTTAGTCCAAATCAACTACGGGCACCCAGATATATCAACTCTTCTTCAAAATTTTGGACATTTTCATTAACTTTCATTTAATTGTGAAGTGGGCCGTATGTTGGTCTGTGTGTAATTTATGTTTAGAATTGTGACGAGATCAGGTTACTAGTTTTCGACGTGATGCATTTTGCGAGTCCATCTTTGGGCTGGGAGCATCATGTATTTTAGAGTTCGCAAATAAAGTCCCGAATGCTGAATTACTTTGGTTTTCTGACTGAGTAGTAAAATGATGAACAACCACCCACTCAAAATATTCAACCCTTAGAATTATGGTACTTCATCGACGGTTATCTGCTAACTCCAACTAAACGAACTTCAGAGGTTAGCAGCTTGCCAGCTGATGATTTCTTTATGATCACTGAATTTCTTTGTGTTCATGTTGATTTTCTTTCCGAGACTACTTGGAGAGGCCTGGTGATATGGCTTAATCATTTTCAGTACCGCAGATGTATCCGACCCTTATTATTTTGCATATTTTGAAGGTGTTCTCCAATATTCATATTATTTTCCTCTTTCTCTTGCGTCTTCATCTGTTTTAGTTTCATTATGTTTCTTCTCCGTACCTGTATCGAACTTTGAACTGATACACCTTCGTGCCGAGTTCTACAGTGACAACTCAATCATGCTTATTTGCATTATGATTCTCCCTCTGCACCTATGTATTTCATCTTATATGGCTACATTTAGGCGTATTGTTTCAGACTGAGATTTAATATTGCGTTTTATTCTGAAGTTGTAAAAATGTTCGTGGTTAGAAATGTAGACGTTCCTAATAAAGTTTCATCTTCTAGTACCGATAAAGTGCGTATTGCACTGAATATGACATAAAAGAGCCGTAGGACCTGCACTCTAAGAATTATCAGTCTGGCAGGTACTTCAAGCAGTAAATGTTACGATATTTCAAACTGATATAATCGATATTTTGTAACTGTATCTTGTATGGTAATAATTCACCCAGTTATTTGGATAAAAATGTTTTAAACCTTTAGTTTTCCTAGTCGTGGTGTGAAGTTGAGTTCAAAAACTGCAAAATACTAACTCTTTACTTGTTAATTGTTTTCAATTTCTTTCGTATTATGCATGCGTTACTTATGTGCTTCTTACACACATCATCTTAAGATACATTCGTGTGCAGAAGGATGGTTACCTGTTTATGCTGATGGGGACACAAAACGCTTACCCGTAGTATCAATCGGTTTTCTGTTAGATAATACGGATTCTGCTGTTATATGGCGTGGACCGCGCAAGGGAAGTATGGTAGGGGAGCTTATGAATTCTGTTTGTTGGGGAAATCTTGATTTTCTGATCATCGATACTCCACCTGGGACATCAGATGAGCATATAACTGTTCTCGAACAACTACAAAAGTCCACCCTTGATGCAAGTGTTGGAACCATTATTGTATCAACTCCTCAAGTAAGCTTACTTTTATTTTATTGTCCAAACTCAAGTGGTAGTCTCTTGGAAAATATGCAACTGTACTAACTTGTGGAGTTTATTTCCATGGGAAGCTTTTTCAGGAATTCTTCATTAACTATTTGACCTTGTTTCGTTTTTGTAATGAATAAATATTCGATTTGTATACCTTTTAAAGTCTTGCGAAGGACTATAAAATTTACATAGAACTGATACTCAGAAATCTACTGTATTTAGAATATAATTCTACACATAGCAACTTAGACTTGTCTTTATTGCAATAAGAAATATTCATAAAATGATAAAAACATTTACCAACTGTATTGTCTTACAGAATAGATCTAAATGAATATTTAGGTGTTATTAAATGAAAATTTAGTTATCTCAGTAAAATTATATGTACACCATAAAAACATACGGTGATTACTGTAAAATCAGTCATACGGTGTATTTTTGAACTAAAAGGTGAACAATACCGACAGTTCGACTCCTTTTAAGTTGTCATGATTATATCGTGGTAACAAAACTTAATTGTTCCAGGTCCTTTTCCTCGCGGAAGGATGAAAATAAACCGCAGAAGAATCTTGATTGAACTTTGGTTCTTCGATTTGTCGTCTACCACTAAGAAGTTACACGAGAAGGGTGTTTTACTTGTAGTTCTGGAATTTACTTGGAAATTGTTTTAACCCGCGTAGATATGTTGATGAAGAGGTTTCTGTACTGTTTAAGCTTAATACTAAGAAAAGCACTTCTAAGGCAGTTAGCCATTTCTTATTGTACTAGGTGTTTTGGAATTCGATAGGTTTTCATATCAATATGCACACACGTGCTTTTGCTCGTGCTTTTTGTTTATTTGTTCTCACTAGGAGGTAGGAGATTAACCAGTTGATACACTTATTTTAATTCAGTATTTTATTTTAATATGGAAATAAAAATTAGGATTTCTTTGGGAAGTTATAAGAAGCTTGTAGATCAGTGGTTCTTCAGTTCAGCCTTCTCACTTCCAAATTTAGTTTTCATTTTCCCGAAAATTATTTCTACTTGTGAGCCTAATGATAACGATAATAATAGGACAAGTCTTCATATAGAATAATGGGTTATAAATTAAAAATCTGATTTCTAAATGAATGATCAGTGTTTGCAGTCAAGACTGTGGTTATATTACAGCCTTGTTTACTGTCTCCAATAGATTATGTTTCGTAAAAGCGCAAATCTCCTTCAAGCCTTTTATATTCCAATACGCCACTAATTTTCTTGTTGTTATCAGAGAGTTTCCTTATGCGATGTGCGCCGAGAAATTGGTTTTTGTAACAAGACAAACCTTAAGATAATTGGTTTAGTCGAAAATATGAGTGGATATACATGCCCAAATTGTGCCCATTGTACAAATGTGTTTTCATCTGGAGGCGCTGAAGCATTGGCTTTTGAGAAAAACGTCGAATTTTTGGGTACGTTTCCTGAGATGGTGTTTTGTTATATCTTTAATATTTAATGCAGTTAATATTGTATATTAAGGATAGGTTTTACTGCGAAAAATTCGTAAAATTTTTTAAATGTTGAATATGAAAAAACAAATCTACTGTATTCACTTGTGTAACGCCCATTGTAGGATTTTGTGCATTCATCTTTCCACTTCTGTCATGATAAGATGAAATTTCATGTCTACACCTATTATTTTGCTTACTTTAGAACTCAAAACGTTTTGAAGCACAAACTACATGCATCTTGTTTTCGCATCTCTAAGCTTTTCATATATCGGCTATTCAGTGAGAAAGTCACCAATTCAAATTAAATACCTTTTTATCACTTCTGTATGAGTCGATTTACGGACTAGTTTCCTGATTATATATATTCCCGACCGATAACTGCTACCTTGACATGGCGGTCGGGCTTGCATATCGCAATGACCCAACAAGCTACACTGGCTGGAACTAATGTTCCTGCAGGTCCTATCATGTCAGGAAGATTGTTAGGATAACGACTAAACTAAAAGCAGTTACTGCCATAATGCAGGACTTCTTTTACACTATGCTGGGAGGTCAGTGGGCAGTCGTACTGCTGGGAAACAGGGATGTAACAGCAGTAAGGTGTTTCCCTCAGATGACCAGCATGCCAGCCAGCTATGCTGTCTCTCCACTCTGGAGATAGGGGGTTAGAAAAGGTTGACCCTAGGAATTGTACATCCTGACTTACCCTACGGTGGTCTGTAGGCGGCGGTAAGTTACTAGTATGCAACCAAACCAAGAAGCTAGTTCATACAGGCTCTTTGTGACTGACCTCAAGCACTTGTCAGGAGACTCCACAGCCAGTTCGCGAGGAAGTGCAGGTGGAGCGATAGCACTGAGTGTTAGGGCTGTGGTTATTCACTTAACTCCACCCGGCCAACAGGGTGAATCTGCAAAATTCATCTCGAGGGTGTCAGGAGACTCCTCAGCTAGTTCGCGAGGATTCGTAGGTGAAGGGATGGAGAAGGCATCGGCGACAGGTAACACCAGACAACTATTTAGTCCTAATAGGGAAACAGGTGACAAAAGACAAATGATAAGTGAAACAGTCTCTGAGAAAAATGGCACGATAATTAGCTCCCAGGATAGACGACTGGAACGGTGGAAAGAACACTTTGAGGAGCAATTTAATTGGCCTACAACCACACTCAACTTACCCAGCATCCATCACCTCCTTGAATGGGATATAAACACAGGTCCTCCGTCCCTAAATGAGGTTACGAAAGCTGTCGCTAGTCTGACACGAGGCAAAGCAGCGGGGCCTGGTGGAATGACTCCAGAGGTGTTTAAGGACGGTGGGGACAGTCTACTGTCTGCGTCAACTAAGGTATTAGGCAACGTCTGGGAATCACAGACAGTTGCGTCGGTCTGGTGTAAGTCATCGGTTATCCCGACATACAAGAAGGGAGACAAGTCTTCCTGTGATGATGACCACAGGGGGATTAGCTTGACCAATATGATATCTAAAGTTCTAGGTTCAATAATCATGCGTAGACTAAGCGGTGTTCGGGAGGAACAAACACGAGAGAAGCAGGCAGGCTTTAGACCAGGAAGAGGGTGTACTGATCATATCTTCACCCGTCGACAGATTCTGAGACACAGGAATACTTACTGGCGTCCAACAATCGTCATATTTCTTGACCTGAAAGCGGTTTTGGATTCCCTCTCCCAAGAGGTGCTATGGCGATGTTTGGCTGTGAAGGGAATGCTGAGAAAATACATTGCACTGATCAAGGCACTCTGCTGGAACTCATGCAATCAGCGAGGTGAGAGCCTACGGAGAGTTGTCATCTGATAAATATGATGACAACCAGTGTTTTCCGTCAGGGATGCCCACTGTCCCCATTTCTGTTTAGATATCATCAAAGATGTACTAATGGACTTGACCCTAACTGACTTCAGCAGCTCAAGGATTGACTCGTTAGCAGGGAATAATCACGTTGACTTAGAATATGCATGCGGATGATATAGTCCTTCTAGGTGAAGACGCTGACAAAGTAGAGCAGAGTCTTCTGAACACCTTGAGCTGAGCAGCAATCTTCGAATGTTTGGCATGCGATTTGCTCCTGCTGTCAAATGTAAGATGATGCCACAGGACTGGAATGAACTCCATCGACTCCTAGCTTAAAGATAAGCGGGGGTGAAGTGGTAGAGCGTGTTGACCACTTCATTTATCTGGGGAGTTGCATCAGCCTCAACGGCAACAACACCATGCCAATTTCTGCGACTTTTCTAATAATTAACTAGTCGCCCCTTCTAGACTGCGCCTCTTCTTACGTAATATGTTTTCGAAGATAGATTTCGCTAGTATCTGATGGTTCGTATGAATTCTTTTTCAGAGATAACTATGACTGTACAACTTATGAAAATGAATCGTCGGGAAGAAAATTTTCTTCACTGTCTATGTTTTTTTCTTATGAATCAATATGGGAGTATTTCGTTCGATTTTTAAATATACAATACACGGAACATGTGTGTTATTCTTTTTACGAGTTAATCAGGGATTGATATCAGTTAGAGAACCATTGAAAACCAGGGAGTACTGGACAGCTGTCTCATCCTATTTTGGGAATCATCGGCAGAAAATTAATCTGATGCTCGCTGGTGACTTGCTACAGGATGGAGTTTCCTGAAGTTTTTAGTGAGAAGTCGTGACCAGTGAAGTCTATCCAGATGTTACGTGTGAGGATGGATGTCCCATCGACGACATTGGTTGGGGTCGCGCTAAATCCCGAATTGGTAGAAGTTAGAACTCATGAGCCATTGAATCGGGTCCCAGTGGTTGAATGGTATACCAGCTCGCCTTGTAACCGGAAGGTCCTGGGTGCGTACTGCCGATGATTCTCAAACTAGGATGAAACAGCTGTCCAGTACTCCCTGGTTTTCAATGGTTCTGTAACTGATATCAATCCGAGATCAAATCGTAAAAAACAAAACTAACTCTTACAAACCAAACTATAGAAAACATGTTTGTTATATTTTAATCACTCGAGCCTTAAAACGAATAGATAAATGTAGGTTTCCTGAGTAGTATTTATCATTCTGTTGATCTTTCATTCCTCTTAAGTTATTTTAAAATCCTATCTATGCCTTAGTCTGTGAGATTTTTCTCTCATTGTCTGTGTGAATCCTGCTTTTGCAGTTGTATTCTATCTTAAATACCGAGGCAACGTACCAGGTGTTTCATTTAGACTGTAAAGGAAAAAATACACATGTAGCGAAAGTGAGCCATCTGAATAACGCAAGCATTGTTATTTATTCCTTTGCGCTTCGAGTGAAATAGGACTTCAGACTTGACCTTCTGTGTTTTAGCTGTGGTAGGTGGAGTTCCTAAGGGTCTAGGTTGCCGACCTCACAACCATCCTTTTCTCTATCAGATTTACTATCGCTAAGCGAGATTCAGGAGTACGGTGGCTGCGAGTTGAACCTCAGCCATATGCGTGGCTGACGAGTATTCTACAACTGAACCACAGACACACATGTAAACATAAAAGGATAGAGAATTATGAGATCGGTATAACTTGTCTTTGTTCTGTCATTATTGATGTACTCACAAAATTTGAGTCTGCAAGGAATTCTATAGTACATTTCTCTTCGTTAGGAATGTTTTTTCTAACACACTATTTTGTTCCTTTCTTTAACAGGTCGTTTGTCTCTTGACCCCACGTTAACCGCTGTTTGTGATCGTGCTGGAAATTTCCAATCCAAACTTTACATGAATGAAGACACTAGAGGCCTTACTAAAAAACTACTGACAATTTTAGATATCTGAGTTTGGAAAGATGTACACTATGTATAGATTTTTATGCAAATGGTTTAAAGCTCTTCATTGTTTCGATCACGATAAATTTCACTTTTCTAACTAGTAGAATATCATCTTACAGGGATACTTATGTTTCAGTTGGAGAATTCGCATCCGTTAATGTTTAATGTGTATTGCTTTATACGTAGTATTAAACGATACAAATAGACGGCAGTAAGTCCCAAGATATATATATATATATATATATATATATATAGGCATTACCAATACCAGTAAAGTTAAGCCGGCTAGATAATTAATGCGATTGGTTGTGTAGTGTCTGGCATATGGTTGTCAATGCACATTACTATAAATCTAGACTGCGAAATATAGTTATTCTAAGATTAAGCAAATTGGGTGCACATAATAGTTACCACACTTCATATTTACACATCAATTATGAGTAATATATATGAAACAGACCAAACATGCTATTAAGTAATATGATGTACTCAACATGTATCATATACAATGAAAGACTTCCACAAAACCATAGATTCACAAGCTCTAAACGCACTTAGTTTATACTGTATTCCAGAATCGAACAAAGGTTTAGTATCTGTTTCATACACCCATCACTAGAGGTGTAACTTGTCAAAGTTTTTTAAGCTTTTTGCCTGCGAGCTGTGGTTACGGATTGTATATTTACAGATGAGAATTGTGAAAACTGTATTGGGTAGAGTGATTTCTATATTGTTATCAACATGGGACTTTCCTTTCCTGGGACTGTCAGTAGTTAAGACCAATCGGCGAAATTCGTGTATTACTCATCAGTCATTCCGAGTAGTGATCCTTGTTCACTGAAGTGTTAGCAGAGATGTTTTGGAGGTTCGAGATTACCGGCCCGTCATGACATAAAACTTGGCATATTTCGCGGTACATGCAGAAACGACGGATTTGGACAAGGGAGCTAATGTTCAGTTATTCGATCGTAATACTAATGCTCGCAATATAGTAACACCATTATCTTCTCTCAGTAGTGTGTATTCTAATCAACTTGGTGATTCCCATGTTTAAACCAGTTTTTGGCAAGTGAGCCACTAGATGATTTATCTACTCAGAAGCATGAAACAAACAGCAGTACAGGTTGATGTAAGAATGGTTACTATCGGAGTTCTTTTACAGAATCATTACGCATGTTTGTAGATCTCTTAATCGCCATGCTAACACTAATAATTCCTATTCTGCACTGGCAAGTAGTATCAATATGTTTATGTATCCATTGTTAATCGTTCTCTGATTACACCAACCTTTAATTCAGTTTAGGGAGAAGAGTGGTAAGTTAGAACTTTATGGTACTTGCAAGTAGTATGATTGTTTATTCAAAATTTTGCACAGCTTGTTGGTGTATTATGTTTCTGTATGGATGTGGTCTTATCAATAAACTTTGGCGTTGACTAATTGATAAAAAGTTTCCCTTATCATCATCCCTATCCTACTCGTATGCTAGGAATGCCACATATTTTTTCTAGGAATAACTAAAAGTATTGTGTTAAGAGAACTAGTCATAACATACCTGTATTGGATGTTTAAATTGTAGTAACAAATTCACAGTGATTCGATCTTGAACAAATCAGTGTGAGTTGCACAGATATTAAGGGGTCTGCGAACAAACTTTTCAAGGTCGCAGATACGCCTTGCTGATGAGTGCCAACTAGCACGAAACCTAGGTCCAAGGCTTCCTGCCGATTGCCTCCAACCATCTAATACCAACAAACTTTTGACAACTCGGAAGACAATTGAGTTTTAAATCATAGTGCAGATCTGTTCACCATCTTCTGAGAACATTAGATTCCTATAAATCGAGCAACCCAAAAGATAATGGAAACAGAAGGAGCTTGACACTATTCATTAGCTTCCAAATAATTCTTCCCATCAATAGTAATTTACAAATAACACGAGATATTTTGTTGAGCACTTCGACAAAGAATAAATCTCATGTGTGGCAAATTAACAACAAAAGTCTTGATGAATAAAAATTTAAGATTGATATCAGTGCTAAAGATAAAGATATATTTATTGAAAGAAGGATTGTACACTGACAACAGTTATTCAAAAAGAAATGTAGTGATGAGAACAAGTTTCGAAATATTAATATAGGTAACCAGTGCCAAAATTATTTAGCTCTGTAAAATTTACTGGAAGGTGGAATATTCACTTTGATATGTTCTTTTGAAGTTTAATGGATTCATATATTTCTGTCTCACTAGTATTTGTTGCTTTTAAATTCGTATCAGGAAACAAGCGTTCTCAAGCAAACTGTAAAGCATCATTATTTTACATTTTATTGTAAACCACTCGAGATATTTCAATACCATAATTACTAAAATTCAATGGATACTTGGTACTGTTTCCCTCTCATTATAAACCTCGTTGGCGGCATGAGTTTCTATTCTAAACGAAACTGTAGATATTATAGAATACAGTCCCTTTTGATTCTGACTAGAGTTCGTCAGTAGTATACTGTGTAACATCTGCAGAAATCTTGAATATTATAGAGACGGATCAATTTGCAAACAAAAGAAATGATATAAGAAAAGAAAGAATCAGTGTAGACAGCATGAAATGAAGATGGGACACAAGTATTCCGTGGATACTGGGATTTCAATATAACTTCTCTGCTGCATAAGATTTTTGCCTGCTAAACAGTTATGGTACCAGATACCTCTGGGTTCTTCTTTACAATGGTGTCGCTGCCTTTTTCGGAGAATTAAGTGATGAGGATTCTGAATTTTGAAGAGGGAGACTTTACGACATTCTTGAAAGACTTAAAAAGTCATTCGGAGCTGGTTGGCATGAAAAAGTAGCTAACGAAGTTGGTGTTCTTTGGGACGCTTCTGAGTTGCTAAAACGAAGCTGTCTACAGCATCTCGAGAGGTGTCGGTGGATCGTTGAGCGCCTGGTTTCGGAGTTACATAGCTGGTATTGCTGAAGGTTAGGAGCCTGATTCTCTCTCCTGTTTTGTCGGTAATGTTGACAAGTCTTCTGAGACATACGTTTCTTACCTCAGACGAATATTCTCCAGCGCAACTACTAGCTTCCCAGTTTATCGAATGTGTCCCTGCTTCTATAGCCTATCAGCCGCAGTTTGTGAATGAATTCGAACTTATGGACGTCAACAGACTGACTATGGTGACGAGATATTTAGTGAGTTCGACGGCTGTACAAGTGATGAACGGATGCCACGAGCTCAACAATACATGGCAGAAGTGTGGCTACTGCTATTCGCTATTCGAACAGGAGTGAGTCATAGTGACAGATATTCCACCGATGGACGAACAGACAATTTTAAAAGATAAATCTTTTCGTCTTTCTGTTGTTTGAATCTTCAACTTCCTAGATTGATAGAGAAAGAAGTTATATATGGAAGAATGTGAGTTGATGAATGAGAATTAGTGTGAGTGATACGGGAGCAGCAGATTAGCTGATAGGTAAAGAACAGTGTAAGGACATAAGGGTGTGTGCATTAACACTTTAGACCGTAGAAAGATATACATTACTGGTTTCCAGTGTTTCACGCTGTTTTTCAGAGATTGGGGCATGTAAACCACACCACCCATTTACTGCAACATCAGTGCTAGTGCATTTAGGGGAAGAAGTAAACAGACAAGTTCACGAAAGCTTAAGTGAAGAAACAATCGAAAAGGCCAACAGCCCATGCAGTTCACCAGTCCTTTCGATGAAGAAGGCCAGTGGAAAGAATAGGTTTAGCGCTGACTTTAGGGAACTGAGTAACCTAGCCAATCTAAAACCATATGCAATGACAATTCTGATAAAAACACTAGACCGTCTTCAAAAGCCAAGTTGTTCACTATTTCTGATCTACGATCAGGTTATTGACATATACCAATAAAAGAAAGTGATTGAAGCAAAACAGCCTTTACTGTTGACTAGAAGCAGTATCAGATTATGCGAATGCCGTCTGGATTGACAGATGCACCCATTACGTTCAAACGATTGATGACGTTGTTATTAAAGGAACTGAAGAACGCGAATTTGTACGGTGACAGCCTAGTAGTATATGGTCAGAAAGAAGTACATAATAGCCGTTTTAACACATGTTGAAAATTTTGTATTACTTATCAGCAGGACAAAATCTTAAATAGCTAGTGAGGAATGTTACGCTTTCGGGACGAATAGTAAGAAACAAAACCCTCACCTGAGAAAATTTTGGCAATAAAAATCATTTCAGCTCGACTTCGAAGACAAAACTGAGACAGATTTTGGGGAGGTCAGTACTTTATTTTCAGTTATTGCGAAACTTAGGTGGTCGGAAGTCTCGCGGAAAATAAACAACCACACTTAACAGCTTTTACACTACCAGCAAATGACTTTATAACCAACTGTACCTGGGAAACAGCTCACCATGTCCACAGATGCTAGTGACTATAGAATAGTTGTAGTGCTAAAACAATGAATGCTAGTCGTGTTAAACCACACACGCAGCGAAAGTATTCAGTGGTTGAGAAGTGTTTGGTGATAGTGCGAGTGTTAGATAAGTGGAAACCTTATCTACTTGGTCAACTGTCTCATATAGAAGCTGATCACAGGTCTCTACAGTTTCCAGAAACCCGCGTGGGAAATTATCTCGGTGGATGTTACGTCTACGGGATTACAGTTTTACGATCTCGCAAGTTCCAGGGACAGATAATCTTCTGGCAAAGTTTTTATCTGAACCGAAAGACGAAGCTGAGTTATCTAAGTTTCATTAGACTTGGATAATGAGGTAGAGTATAACTCCATCATAGAGTAAATCTGTTTGGTAAAGTTTTAGTAAGTAGCACTGTATAAAACTGTGAAACTTCATGAAATAAATTTACTGTATGATGAGTTACCTAAGATTGCATATAGAGTACATTCATTGGAACAAGACCAATTAATGCTTGCCCGCTGTCAAAAGTCGACCCTATCCTGAACTCAGAAATAGAGGCGATTACTAACGAAATGGAAGTAAATCGCCCCACGCTGAATGGGAGCTAGCCATATTACTCAGGCAGAATGGTCAATTAAGACGGAACTCTTACGGAGCTTTGACTTGGTGAGTAATGAAAATTGATTGGTGATAACACTTCAGTTCCCATTTACGGCAGTAGACGATTTATAGGCCGTGGATGTACGGGACCTCTTCCACAAACATTCAGTGGCAGTTAATGCCTGCTTCTGGTGGGGCACGCTGCAGTGAGTGGACCCCGCGGTGATCCCGGATAAAGGCGCAGAACACCGTGTGCTAATGGTAATACTAACAGATTATTAACACTGTGTCCAAATTCTGATTTCAACAGCTAGGTATTAAGATGATTCGAATGATACAGTAACATCAACAAGCTAGTGGTTTGACAAAGAGAAATAACCCTACACTGAAAGAGTGGGTGACCTCGAAAGGATGTAACCGGGAGACAAACCTTCCACTTATTCCACTAGGATGTTCTACCTCCATCCAGGAAACAACTAGATTGCTATCGTTTCAGTTGACGTGTGGTAGAAAACCACAACTATCAACACACAACAAAACCTGGCCACATCATCAACGATGGATCATGAAGAGATGGGAAACGGGATGGAAACAAGCTATTAAAAATATGAAGCACAAACTGGTGACTGATGATGAGAAATCCAGACAGAAAGAAAGGAAGTAATTGATAGCATTTGAAGTCAGCGATCAAGTAAAGTGCTCTCCTACAAAATACTATCCAGTTACTACTTTTATCTGTGTTGTGTATGCAAATTTTTTTCACACTGCTAACTAGTAATCAAGAATTTCTCTTGTGATGATCATTTATATTATCAACGTAATTTCTCTGTGACATCTACCGTATAACAAATAATGTAAATTACTATCTTCCAACATTCCGTTAAGGTTAAACGAATAAGAAAACAAATATGTGCTTTGGAAAAAGGTTGTTAAGGTAAAGTAGGTTAATTATATGCCTTTTCAGCGAAGTACCACATATTTTATTTGTTGTTTGATATTTAGCATTTTGGTACCTTTCAGTTAAGAATATTTGAACTTATTGTAACCATGATGTGACACTTCTAGGCTCTTACCAGTGTTCTAATTTAAAAAAAATTCAGTCATTTCTGTACGATCTGAACGAAGAATATTCTTTTCAATAATTTCTCTTCAGGTTCTTACAATTATAAAATATAATATTTGTTGTCGTTACAATAAGGCCAGTTATGCGGCAGATACATATTTTAACGTAGAATAACAGATTAGTTATGGGGTGTCAAAATAAATAGTCGTATTTGTGTGACAAACGTGCTAGGCTGAATTCGATTACAAAATAATGTAAAACGGGAGACAATGGTGATTAATCATAATAGGTTTGTAGAGTGGGGGGTAGGAAAATTGACAAGTCAGTTCAAGGTTATAAAAGGTGTCAGGTGAATGGCTAGTACAAAGTGGTCTGTGTTAAACAGGAGATAGTGAGACTGCAATGGGAGGTTCATAATGAGATAACGAATATGTGAAATGAAACAGGTGGAGGCATATATTGAGAAAAGAGATAATATCACTAATAATAAGTCCGGATAGTATAAACGAAAAAAAAAAATTCTATAGTATTGAGAGAATGTTTGCATGAAGGGCATAATCTGTTATTCTACGTTAAAAAATGTATCTGCCGCATAACTGGCCTTATTGTAACGACAACAAATATTATATTTTATAATTGTAAGAACCTGAAGAGAAATAATTGAAAAGAATATTCTTCGTTCAAATTGACTTTTAATTCATAATATGGGAATTTTCCACACTATCATTTCTGTACGATTTCATTCAAACTGAATTTACTTTAAAAGTTTTGAAAAACGAAGATTGAATATTGATGAAGTAGTGTTTATTACCGGTAGGTTAAATTGAATATATAACAAAATAGAAGAAACGAGATGCCTTCTTTGTGACTTCGTATTACCATATTCATTAAAAGAGCAAATGAAATGGTTTTATAAAAACTCGAGTAACTGGGAAGCTATTTTCTACAACTAAATAACTATACATTACCTTTTTATAATTCATTCAGTTTGGTATAACGTCATGCACTGTAATTATTCAGCTGTCAGCAGGCGAACACTCCATATCTAAGATTTCAATATTTCCTCATAACCATTTATTTGGTTCATCTGGCTATACTTCTATCATCAAACGTTCAACCTCAAAACACCAAATGGTTAATCCTTATGTTGATTTACACATTCTTTGTTTAGACAACCGAATAATTTAATGTATAACTCACTGACTGGTTTCATCATAGAACTTTGCACAGATGTGCAGCAGTTCGAGTCGCCACACTTCACTTACCACACAAAGCAAGAGAAGAGTGTAAAGAGAGATAATAAGCAGAAATATGAGGCAAAAAGAATAATAACACGGAATAGCAGTAGTGTTTTATTGGATATGATGAATCACAAAGAGTGAATTCATCTGTGCCAGCCACTGAAAACGATTTCGAAACATATCACCAATTATCTCCGGCCAAAATGTCTACACCTCCCTACGTGGCTGGCTGGCTTAAACTAAATGTTGTGGGTTTCATTGATTGATGACATGTTTTGGTTTGACCACCACTGGCTCTTTTCCAACCTGACCCTATGTCAGTTAACATTGCCTGTTGTCGAGGTAGGCGACGGCCAGGCATGCGTAACACATGTCCTAACCATCCCTCTCAATCGATGTAACTTCACAGCCTCGTCGATTTATTTCCCCTCCTTACCTAGCACTCGACGCCTAACCTCAATGTTGCTCACCACTTAATACGGTAGACAGGACGCAGGCATCTATCAGCAAAGACAGCTATACCATCCATGCTTTCCACTTTCAGTGGCCATGACTCACTCACAGTGATAAAGGAGGACAGATTGGACTGCTAAGCAACACATACACCCTTCGGTCGACAGCCAGCCAGATATCACGTCTACGCCAGAGATGGCGTAAGTTGGCGTGTGTTAAACGAGCTGTTTGAATCCGTGCTGAGATTTCCTCACCGATCGACCCGTTGGGGCTGATGCAACTCCCCAGATAAATGAAGTGGTCAACACGCTCTACTACTTCACCCCCGCTTATCTTTAAGCTAGGAGTCGATGGAGTTCATTCCAGTCCTGTGGCATCATCTTACATTTGACAGCAGGAGCAAATCGCATGCCAAACATTCGAAGATTGCTGCTCAGCTCAAGGTGTTCAGAAGACTCTGCTCTACTTTGTCAGCGTCTTCACCTAGAAGGACTATATCATCCGCATGCATATTCTAAGTCAACGTGATTATTCCCTGCTAACGAGTCAATCCTTGAGCTGCTGAAGTCAGTTAGGGTCAAGTCCATTAGTACATCTTTGATGATATCTAAACAGAAATGGGGACAGTGGGCATCCCTGACGGAAAACACTGGTTGTCATCATATTTATCAGATGACAACTCTCCGTAGGCTCTCACCTCGCTGATTGCATGAGTTCCAGCAGAGTGCCTTGATCAGTGCAATGTATTTTCTCAGCATTCCCTTCACAGCCAAACATCGCCATAGCACCTCTTGGGAGAGGGAATCCAAAACCGCTTTCAGGTCAAGAAATATGACGATTGTTGGACGCCAGTAAGTATTCCTGTGTCTCAGAATCTGTCGACGGGTGAAGATATGATCAGTACACCCTCTTCCTGGTCTAAAGCCTGCCTGCTTCTCTCGTGTTTGTTCCTCCCGAACACCGCTTAGTCTACGCATGATTATTGAACCTAGAACTTTAGATATCATATTGGTCAAGCTAATCCCCCTGTGGTCATCATCACAGGAAGACTTGTCTCCCTTCTTGTATGTCGGGATAACCGATGACTTACACCAGACCGACGCAACTGTCTGTGATTCCCAGACGTTGCCTAATACCTTAGTTGACGCAGACAGTAGACTGTCCCCACCGTCCTTAAACACCTCTGGAGTCATTCCACCAGGCCCCGCTGCTTTGCCTCGTGTCAGACTAGCGACAGCTTTCGTAACCTCATTTAGGGACGGAGGACCTGTGTTTATATCCCATTCAAGGAGGTGATGGATGCTGGGTAAGTTGAGTGTGGTTGTAGGCCAATTAAATTGCTCCTCAAAGTGTTCTTTCCACCGTTCCAGTCGTCTATCCTGGGAGCTAATTATCGTGCCATTTTTCTCAGAGACTGTTTCACTTATCATTTGTCTTTTGTCACCTGTTTCCCTATTAGGACTAAATAGTTGTCTGGTGTTACCTGTCGCCGATGCCTTCTCCATCCCTTCACCTACGAATCCTCGCGAACTAGCTGAGGAGTCTCCTGACACCCTCGAGATGAATTTTGCAGATTCACCCTGTTGGCCGGGTGGAGTTAAGTGAATAACCACAGCCCTAACACTCAGTGCTATCGCTCCACCTGCACTTCCTCGCGAACTGGCTGTGGAGTCTCCTGACAAGTGCTTGAGGTCAGTCACAAAGAGCCTGTATGAACTAGCTTCTTGGTTTGGTTGCATACTAGTAACTTACCGCCGCCTACAGACCACCGTAGGGTAAGTCAGGATGTACAATTCCTAGGGTCAACCTTTTCTAACCCCCTATCTCCAGAGTGGAGAGACAGCATAGCTGGCTGGCATGCTGGTCATCTGAGGGAAACACCTTACTGCTGTTACATCCCTGTTTCCCAGCAGTACGACTGCCCACTGACCTCCCAGCATAGTGTAAAAGAAGTCCTGCATTATGGCAGTAACTGCTTTTAGTTTAGTCGTTATCCTAACAATCTTCCTGACATGATAGGACCTGCAGGAACATTAGTTCCAGCCAGTGTAGCTTGTTGGGTCATTGCGATATGCAAGCCCGACCGCCATGTCAAGGTAGCAGTTATCGGTCGGGAATATATATAATCAGGAAACTAGTCCGTAAATCGACTTATACAGAAGTGATAAAAAGGTATTTAATTTGAATTGGTGACTTTCTCACTGAATAGCCGATATATGAAAAGATTAGAGATGCGAAAACAAGATGCATGTAGTTTGTGCCTCAAAACATTTTGAGGTAGCAGCTATCGGTGGGCGAGCACATACAAGTGCACTGCTATCCAATGACTTTGCAGCGACATTTAAGACTTGTAGTTCCAGCTGAGAACGGAAATAGTTTTTTATTGGCTAAGCTTTAATATCTCATCATGATTGAAACAACAACTTCCACCCCGAACTTGTGCTACAAATCTTCCCCGTCATTCCAAAATACACAATGAATTGTCACTAGTAATTTCCCTACGCGTAAAGGAAACAGGAGTATCTCGAAAGATGAGGAAAATTAAACTAAAATCCTCTGTACATTGTAACTACAGCAGTATGAATTCGAAGAATATCATCATTTGTCATAAAACTGAAGTTTTCTTGAAAAAAATTTCTTATCTCTACATAACTGTGCATAGTTATCTCAACATTCAGCAGTCTTCATGGTGTTTTCCAGATACTTTCAATCATTCATTCACAGACCTCACAGCACGCAAGTTCCATATCTTAGAGTTAAGTTGCAGATTCAGTTATTCCATTTTATCTCCAATAGTACATGATTAATGAAAGCCAGACACACTGATATCTGCTCCGAATAATTAAGCATTCAACAACTAAACAAGTAAGAGGTCAAGTACAGATAAAGTCATATATATGCTTACATAATTCAAATCAATCAATTACACATATGTAGGCGCTACCCATAATAACTGCTCAGTCAAGGTAGGGCAGATGAATGTGATATAGAACTCATCAATAATTAGCTGTAAAGGTCACAGCACAAAAGAAATGAATACTTACTGGAATTAGTTTGCATTTTTTGCTAACTGCCTCTACAGGTTAGAAATGCTCGATGTCTGTTAGCATATTAGTTCCTAGTATGGAGGCTACAACAGGGAGACGGCATGGATGAAGATATCAAGACTAACCAGAATCGGAAGGGCAAGATACACCTTCATCAATCTAAAGTCGGTTTGGAAATCTTCTGCACTCCTCCTCAGCATAAAGAACAAGATTTGTATTTTCAACACCAATGTTAAATCAGTTCTTCTACATGGGTTAGAAAGTTGGCGAGTGGGTCACGAAAAGCAAATCCAACGGGTCACTGCAGACTTTTACTAACAGCTGCCTTTGCTGGCTCCATACTGAAGATTAAGTACTGGCTAGAAAGCATTAACAACAAGTAACTGGGAACAAACCACCCAAGAGGCTATCGGTCAACAAATATGTAGAAGGAATTGGAGGTGAATCTGACCAGCGCTGAGGACACCGTTGAATGATAATGTGCTTTAGACCCTCGAGTTGGATCCAAATGGGAAACGACGAGCTGGACGTCGGTCCGAGGTTGACATGGAGGACATCAGATACTGTTGGCAATAGTGGGGTTAGGTAAAGAGGACCTTAGGAAAGAGAACAAAGTGGAGATGTGTTGTTGGGTTCCTATATTCCACTCAAAACTAAAGGGAATAATAATGATAATACTATCTATGCTTGTGCTTCTATGGCAGATTTCAAGTGCTATTAAGTTTGTTCATTAGAAGCATCATATTCTGCTAAGTGATGATCTGTTTCCTAAGTATTGCTTTACTATCCACAACTTGATACGTTCATTGGTGGTAACTCGTACTCATATATTTTGCTTATGTTAATCTTTGATTTCATAGTTGTGACCATCTTTCTTTAATGCTGAAATCCTCAGTGATTAGAAATGCCATGTTGTTTAAGTAAGTTCAAAGGAGTTCACTACTAGGTTTTAAAAAGTATCACGTAAGTGATTTGCTCTATCTGCCTGACCTTCTGTATCGAAATATCTCGCTGCTTTTAGTAATCTGGTTGTTTGACCTTCTATAGATAGACATAAATTTTCAACATACGGTAAGAAATTAATATCTCATGGTCCAATTCACCACAGGTTATGTCTGTGCATCACTTAGTAGATAGCATGGAAAAGTAGAAGAGTATTAGCTGAAGCACTTAACTTTACGTCGGTTTGTCGCAACTCCAAAGCTCGCTCCACCTATTTTAGTCACAACAGTTAGGTAGTGTTTTAATCTGTCATACACCAAGTGTAACTTGTGATCAATTTCTTGAAAGGTATTTTTACTGGGGAAATTGGTTATCTTCTCGCTTTAGAAAACTAAAGGAAAGGAAGCTGGGATCTAGGCTGTCATTTTTGACCAAAATGAATTCTCTGCATCATATAACTTACAGTTAGTGGACACATAGGAAAAGACCACAAGAAAGGTATCAATGTGTTACATTTCTAACGTGTTTTACCAACACCATTCAGTGAAACGGCACACACATGACTATCAAATAACGTATAGTTAATATACATCCCCTCTACTCCTTAATATACAAACATGAGAGCTGATTGTCGAGTTTCTTAAATGCCATTGAGTTCAGATAAATAACTACACGAGTTTTTCATGTTCTTCGCATAAATGCAGCATACATCAATAAGTCAAGATTCATATTAATAATATTTGTTGTTCGATTTGACACGGGATGTCAACTATAATAGCTAAGACGTGTAGTTTAAAAAAAACTATTTCAAGAGAGAATATTTATTCTTTTCTAGTGAAGACTACTGATTTGGAAAATGTGGAGTTCACTGTGAGAGAAAATGAATGAAATACATACGGTAGTGAAAAGGAAGTTAAGTGGTAATCATATCAGGAGCTATAGTGGCTCCGTGAGCAGTTGACACTAAGTATAAGGTTACTTTCGATTCTGGTATGCAGACGAAATATACTTTTAATAATAGGTCTTTTTGGAGTGTTAACAACGTTATAAACTAAGTGACATAAATTACAGGTGAATCAGATACTTTCATTGCTATTAGCTGGTTTAAGTTTCACTCATCTAGATTTATATCTTAGAAAACCTTGTTACTATTATTTATTCCCCAATTTGTGACGAAGATATATTATTCCGATACTAGTCCTAAGTGCTGATTGATTTTTCAGAAAACCGGTCAGGTTTGAAATTCCTCCGTAAAATAAGTAGTGAAATTTCCTAAGTATTATGTGGCTTAGCCTAATGTTTGCCCTCTGATATACCAAAATCTCCAATAGCAGACAGTCTACCCGTTCATCACAAAAATAAGTCTCATCGTTACAAAATCGGGATATTGTGGAATGTTAAACAAGCATCTAGGGTATTGAAATCTGCATACACTTCGTTTTTTTATCTATAGAATGTTAGTTGGAAGGACTAAAATGTATAACTTAATATTTCTCTTACAGTATCTAACTCTTATGAATCTTAGTCAGGACTGCTTTCCGTTTGACTGACTACTGATAGGTGTTTTGTGGATTTTATTATTTAGATCTTGTTCTAGTGTACTACAAGTATATTATAAAAGTGACATGTACGTTGTTATAGTTATGTCATAAAAACTCTTATTAATCCGAAGAAAATTTTCTGCCATACATATTAATTATGTACATAACATTTTAAGATATCGTAAATACATATAAAGAGGTAGTTATTTATTGTGGGGTGATTACACTACAAATGAAAACAGTTAGCATTGCTGACATACTTCACAGTATTTCCACTGTGTTTTCATCATACTCTGTATGTGTGTGCATGTCTCTGTACTACACATGTAGTTGTTTTATTTCCTTTTCTATACACCTATGTGTTGTTATGTTTCTGTTTCTGTGTAAATGGTAACGGTTTGTTTTCTTAATGCTGGAGGAATGTCTCCCTTTTGTATGTTATACTACTGCTGAAATAAAGAAATATATTTGTTATTTACGTTGTGTAAATTTTGTGTTGTTTGAATCCTTAAAAAAAAATAGATTGTTTAATCTCAATCGATTTAAGTCTTTCAATTGCTTATGGCTGGTGAGTAATAATAACTTTAATAGCTTACAGCCAATTTCTATACACAAATTCATCTGTTGATTAATATTTAGATTAATTTCAATGTAGATTTCCTCATAAACCAACATCAGTTAGAGATCATTGATAATTGGGGAACACTGCATAGCTGTTTAGTCCTAGCTTGGGAGGCGTCGTCAGTGCACATTCATCATCCTACCAGAGATCGAACCTGGGATTTTCAAATTACGAAATCAAGCTTGTTGACCATTCACCCTTTTAGATTTCCAATGATCTCTGATTGATGATGTTGGTTTGTGACAAAATCTACATTGAAATGAATCCGAATCCCTACAAAAACTCATAGTCAAAAAATATCAATCTTCAGTTCATTGATGGTTACTGGATGGAAGTCCTGAAGTTATACTGAGAAGTTGTGACCAGTAGGGTTCACCATGTCAAGGTGAAGGGGATGTTCATCGAAGTCATTGGTTGAGCAAAGTGC